CCAACCTCTGAGGCAAGGGTCTAAAGACCAGTCAAATAGGTACAAACCAAGGCAAGAGCAAGACCAGGGCGACACTACTAGTCCAGCCACTGGGAAGAGGCCACAAGGCCAGTAAGGGTAAAATATATATGAAGGTCTATACATAATCAAGGCCCTAGCAAGTGAGATGCTACAGGAACGAGACCTAGCTGTACATAGTGCCGCTGATGATCTTTAGGTGCAAGCGCCTTCGTAAAGATATCAGCTGTGTTGGCACCGGAGGCCAAGTGTACTACGCGAGCCTGGCGGCGCTGCTGTAGCTCGCGCAGGTGGAAGTACTGTAGCTGGATGTGCTTCACTCTGCCCTCAAGTCGAGGCTCCTGACACAGGAGGATCATGGCCCTGTTGTCAGCGAACAGGACCGGGGCAGAGCTAGGCCGCTCACCTAAGTCAGTGAGCAAGAAGGTCAGCCAGCGGAGCTCTTGTGCCGCCATGGCACCAGCGTAGATCTCGGCCTCACAGCTAGACTGGGCAACAGACAAGGAGCGAGTAGCTCTCCACGAGACGGCACCTGAACCAAGGCTAAAGCAGTAGCCCTGTGAGGACCTGAGGGTCTCAGCGTCGTCTGCCCAAGAAGCGTCTGTGTGCCCAGTAAGGACCACTGGCCTGCGTCCTCCTAGCACTAACCCCATGCCCGATGTACTTGCTAGATAACGCAAAACCCCCTTAGCGGCCGACCAGTGCTGTGGTCGGTGTCTGCCTGTGGCCACAAAGCGAGCCAGGATGCTGAGAGGGTATGCGAGATTCTGGACGTGTGCAAGTCATCAGGTACATGAGGCAACCCACCAGCTTTGCGTAAGGACCACTAGGCTCTACTGACTCCTCAGGAACCGGAGCAAAGATGTGAGAGTACGACCTCGTTACACCACTTGGCCTTTTCCATATTTCATCTTCATTTCATTCCTCTTTTTATCTCATCTCTTGTGGCCTCATATTTCCCATTTTCCCTTATCCTTTGGTTTCTTCCTTTATTATTATTATATCACCGACCAGGCATGGAATGTTCTAGACACGCTATCTAGCGTAATCCTGCCGTAATCCCTTAAAGCCAATAGCCTCGCGTGGCTATACGCAGGGTGATTCTATTTTCTAGAAGGGTCTATTCCTTTAGATAGGATAAACCTGGTTACCTGATGTACTCTGGAAGTATAAAAGCGCCTTGTACTGATCGATAGTGCAATCGATCCTCGAGTCATTCGATCCTGTGACAAAAGAGCTTGTGATCTACTAGCAGAGGTGTGGGTTGTGCGGAGGAGAACTGAAGACCGAACCTCTGAAGGACCTGGCGCACCAAGTGTGACTGGGTGAGAGTGATGGTGCGCGCTGCTCTGTCCCTGGAGATCTGGAGGCCAAGGTACTGGCGCAGTTCTCCTAGGTCAGTACAGGTGTGTCTCTTCAGCAGCTCTGCCTTCACGGAGGCCTGTGTGTCCCTGTCTGCAGTGGCGAAGACCAAGTCGTCTACGTAAACAAGGATGTAGAACGGGGTCTGGCCAGCACGAACGAAGAGCGAGGGGTCTGCAGAGGACGGAAAGAACTGCACGTCAGCAAGGGTAGCACGCAGTGTGTCGCACCACTCACGGGACGCCTGTCGCAAGCCGTAGACTGGGCGCTGCAGTAGCCACTGGGTCCCAGGAGGGAAGGTACCAATGAAGCCCTGAGGACGGCGCAGGTAGACCTGCTCGTGTAGGCTGCCCTGAAGAAACGCATCGGAGAAGTCGAGGGAGTGTAATTCGTAGTCACGCTGTGCTGCTACGTGTAGCAGCGCCCGAAGAGTAGTCATCTTTGCGGTCGGGGCGAAGGCCTGAAAGAAGTCCACCCCCTCACACTGACTGAAGCCTCTAGCCACGTAACGCGCCTTGAACACAGGCGGCTCTCCAGGGGGGCACTTCACATTGAAGAGCCACCGGCCATTGACTACGTTCACCCCAGGTGGGGGAACTGCATCAACGTAGGTGCCGGTGGATCTCCACGATGCCATCTCTTGCTCCATGGCAGCTATCCACTGAGAGGCCCAGGGTCCCAAGGTGGCCTCAGCGTAGGTGCGAGGGGTTGGGATGTCGAAAGCGTCTGGGTCACCCTCAGGGACTAGCAGCATGGAACAGAGATGGGGAACAACCTCGGACAGGAAAGCAAGCTCGTACTGCCGAGAGCAGGAGCACCCCCGACGGACGGAGGACGAGTAGGGTCAGAGACCAGAGCAGTGGCATAGTCAAGGCGGTTGGTAGAGGTGAATTCAGCGACCGCAGTGACAAGAGCGTCAAGACGTGAAACAGGAACAGACGGGTCGGTAACGAGAGAGGCAAGGACCCGAGGAACAAGAGGACGAGCTGCACGAAGGTAGTTAGACAGAGGGGGAGGCGCGACAACAAGGGAGGATGGAGGAGGCGACGGCAGGAGGGGAGGACGAGACGCGTGGGAACGGAGCACCATAGGGTGAGAGCACGGAACAGGGGAGACAGGACGAGCACGAGAGGGACGGCGGGACAAGACATGAGACGGAGGAATCGGGTCAGGAGACAGAGGAGGAGACACAGGAGGAGAACGCGGGGGAAGACGAGCCGGAGACGAGTCTGGAGGAGGGAACACGGGGCTGTAGACAGGAAGGGGAGCAGACGGTGGAGGAGGCACAGCCGCGCGGTCAGGGGACGGAAGGCCGAGCAGGCGAAGGGCTGACAATGGCGGCGAGTGCTGCTGCGGCGGCACGACGGCGTTACCGGGACCGCCAGCTGCTCCACGGCCAACTCCGGAACACTCCACTCCAGCACCCCCAGAACCAGGAACCTCTCCAGCACCGGTACCATCCCCAGGCCTGCCGGGACAAGCCACGACAGGAACCCCAGGACGAGCACCCTCCTCAACACCAGCACCCCCAGGGTCGACGAACTGCTGCTATTGCGGCTGCGACGACGGCTGAGGCGACTGCGGCTGCGACGACGGCTGCGGTGGAGGCAGCGGCTACGATGACGGCTGTTGCGACTACGGAGGAGACACCAGGGGAGGGGCAGGCAGTGAGGACTGCGCCACACGGCCACTAGAGTCAGCAGACTCCTCGACCAGGACAACCGACGAAAGGGGGGTGACATGAGACACACCAGACGGGGCAGGGCGGGGAGGTGGGGAAGCAGGGGCGACCGAGGGAGGGGGGACCAGGAACAAGGGGGGAGTAACCGGGGGACCGCGGTGGGGAAAGCAGTGGTAGAAGGAGACGGACTCGTCAAAGGTGACGTCGCAAGAGTGAAAGAAACGGTGAGATGGCGGGTGGTAGAAGTGCTAGTCAGACGTGTCGAGGGGAAAACCTAGGAAGACACAGGGGACGGTGCGGGCAGTGAGCTTGTCCGTGCTAGAGGCACGGACGTGAGCAAGGCAGCCCAAGACGTGGAACAACGACGCGTCACCAGGGGACCCAGTCCAAAAAAGGGTCGGCGAAACCTGCGGCTGCTGGGGGTGCGGCCACAGGTTAAGCTGGTGAGCGGCGTGGCAAATGGCGAACGGCCACAGAAAATGGGGTGCACCGGCATGGATCATGGAGGTACGAGCCACCTCCATGACCAAACTGATGCGTTGCTCAGCGACCCCATTCTGCTGCGGAGAGTCCGGCAGGGTGAAAGTCAGGGTGATGCCCTCCGCACGACAGAAACGACCAAGGACGCCGGAGACAAACTCGTCACCACGGTCGGAGTGAAGACGCAAGACAGGGAGACTGCGGTGCACACGCGCAGAGACCAGCCACGGGATAAGAGCGTCAGGCATGTCGGCTTTCCGCTCCAGGGAAAAAACCGTGGTGTAGCGCGTGTAGTCGTCGACAAGCACGAGGAAGTAGCGCTCTTGACGCGGCCCATGGATAGGGGCAGGGCCCCAGACGTCCATGTGCAGGGTCTGCGCAGTCCTGACTGACTGAAACCATGGGCGCTCAGACAGGGGGAGGGCATGACTGATCGCGAGCTGTGCGACTGCGTCACGCGACATCCAAACTGAGCGGGCAAGGGCGGCAGTGCCAGCGGACTCACGGTCAGCAAATGAGGGGTCAACGGGCAGGGCAGTAGGGGGGTCAGGGCAGGGGATCGTACCATCGAGGTGGACGGCCAAGGAGTGGCTGTCCTGCCGCTGAACTGTGAGGTGACGGCGAAGGTCGACGAGCCACGTGTCGAACTCGACCGGCTGGCCCTCTGCGTCGAAGCGCAGCACTGAGTCCGCCATCAGGGTCGGTGCGGCGGCAGAAGGGCGGGCCAGTACAGTGCAGTGCGGTACAGTGCGGTACAGTGCAGTGCAATGCGGTGCAAGGCGGTGCAGGGCGGTGCAGGACGGTGCAGTGCGGTGCGGGGTCAGCGCGGGCCGGCTGGAAGGCGAGGCCGGCTGGGCGACGGGGCCGACGCGGCGACGGGGTCGATTAGGTGACGGGGCCAGCTACCTAGCGGAGTCGGCTCGGCGTGGTCGGCTACGCGACGAGGTCGGTTTCGGGACAGGGCCGGCGACGGGACGGGGCTGGCTGCAGGATGGGGCCGGCTAGGGGAACGGGCCGGCGGCGGGACGGGGTCGGCTACGGGGACGGGGCCGCGGGGCCACGGGTCGACGGGGCCAAGGGGGCGCTAGGGGACGGGGCCGCGGGGCTGCTGGTCCACGGGGCCGAGGGGCCGCTAGGTGACGGGGCCGCAGGGCCGCTAGGGGACGGGGCCGCGGGGCCGCTGGTCGACGGGGCCGAGGGGCCGCTAGGGGACGGGGCCATGGGGCCGCTGGTCGACGGGGTCGAGGGGCCGCTAGGGGGAGGGGCCGCGTGGCCGCTAGGAGACGAGGTAGGCGAAACGGCTAGGACCTGCAGCGGAAGCGCTGGTGGGCGAAGGGGACCTAACCTACTCATGAAACCATATCAAACTGAAAGAATGACTAGAATGTGAGAGTACAAGGCATTATAACCTAGGGGGCTGTACTCTCTAAGGCACAACCCTATATGGTCTACAACTGACATGCACTGCCTCCTCTGAACCTACACTGCCTCCTTTATTCCGAACACCTTGGCTAGACCTCTCGCCTTGTCCATCTCCTCCATCTGCACCAGCATTCGCTTGAGTTTCCTCGCCAGCACCACGCACTCCTCCCTCTGCCCCTCCACTCTGCTCCGACTCTCCACAGAGCGACCCAGCGTTTCGACATAAGCCACCAGCTGCGACAGCGGGGACCTGGGGCTGCAGGGGAGAAGGGAGGGTTTGGGGTTTGAGGTTAGACAAAAAAGAGTGTCGCGTTCAGGTTGACTAGTCCAAAAACACATGTGCTTGTAATTTAGAAATTCTCACCAGCAAAAGAACAGCAACAGCAGGCCCACATCATCTGATCCTGCTGCTAATGTTAAAGAATCAGGTTCTTATGGTATCTATATGGTAGTTACGGTCTGTTGAACCGCATGCTCTCACCTGTTCCTAGGTTCCGCTGAGGGTGGCAAGGCGCTTCCACTGCCCGTCCCCACCCACTTGCCGTCGCACAGCACGCAAACGAGTCGCTCTGTACGGGGTACAGCGTCGTGCAGCGACGGGGTGAGGGCGCGTAGATGTGGCAGCAGCTGATTGGGCAGAAGCGAGCCCAGCACGAGCCGGTCCAGGAGTGGCTGAGACACCACCTCACGTAATCTGTTGACACGGCACGGGGACGGAGGGGGGAGGAGGGGGGAGGGGGAGGGGGAGGAGTGGCGAAGGTGGAGGTGTTGTGGGAGGTTGCAGCCGTGAGACTGTACCCTACAGCCTGCTTTTGACAAATTTACCTGCCGTGGTTGCGAACGGGCCTGAACAAGCACCTGAGCGGGGCACTAAAGAGGAAAGCTAGAGGCCAATGAGACTACCTCAACCCTCACCTGCCCATGTTGTGGATGAGCCTCAAAGCCTGTCCGAATCTTTGAGCCGCGAACCGAGCAGCGAAGGGGCAGGCAGCCAGCACAGGGGGCGGCCACGCTGGGACCTGGGCGGGTGGGGAGTAAGGGGATGGGGTGCGGAACGGGGGGATGGGGAGAGCATGGGGAATGGGAAAAGATCGAATCACATGAAACACAGTTGTACAGGCAGCAAGCGCAGAAAGGGAGGGGCGGTTGGGGGGGATGCTGGTAGAACTTAGTTGTGATCAGCTGACAGGGAGAGGGGGGAAGACAGGCAAACAAAAGATTAACCCTGCAGCCTTCACCATCCACAGCCTTCACCATCCACAGCCTTCACCATCCACAGCCTTTACCATTTCCACCACGGCAGGAGCCCTCGCCTCCACTTACACCATCACCCGCCCCACAACTGCCAGACAACACTCCCGCTGTTCGCCCCAATCTAACATATGTAAGCCGTTTCAAAACATCAACTCACCTTGATCTCCCCGACACTCCCCTCCATCCGTCCCTTCACAGCCTTCACCATTTCCACCACAGCTGGCGCCCCCGCCTCCACGTACACCAGCACCTCCTCCACAGCTGTCAGCACTGCCATACGTTAAGCTAGTCTTTGTCAGCTGCTCTGCAACCCAACAACTCACCGTCATCTCCCCAGCAGCAACTTCCATCCGTCCCTCCACTGCCTTCACCATTTCCACCACAGCAGGAGCGCCCGCCTCCACATACACCAGCACGGCTTCTCACAGCTGCCAGACAGCAGTGCCTGCCGGTGTTCTATTTGCATACCTCAAACGTACCTTCATTTCTGCAACACTCCCCTCCATCCGTCCCTCAACCGCCTTCACCATTTCCACCACAGCTGGCGCCCCCGCCTCCACGTACACCAGCACCTCCTCGACAGCTGTCGCCGCGCGATTGGTCACGGCGCGGTCCAGCGGGTCCCAACAGTGCTCAAGCGCGTGGTGGAGGATCGGCAGCCCGACCTTCTCCACGAGCCTCGGCACCAGGTTCGTGTCCGGGTCGTCTGGGGCTGGCTCGGACCCGTCAGTTGGGAGCCCGTAATCGAACAGAACCGAGTACCTATCAAATGGGACACAAGGTGAGGGAAAGTCAGGGGAAGGGGGGGACGAAGGGGGAGGAGGGGGGGAGAGGGGAAGGGTAAGGAGTGGGGAGTGGGGAGTGGAGGGTGCTAGCTGCCCAGTCCAGGGGGTCCCAGCAGTGCTCCAGCTCGTGGTGGAGGGTCGGCAGCCCGACCTTCTCCCCGAGCCTCCGCACCAGGTTCGTGTCCGGGTCATCCCGGGCAGGCTCGGAACCGTCCGTCGCAATGGTGCCATGGAGCAGGAGATGGCATCTTGGAGGTCCACCGGCACTTACGTCGACGCAGTTCCCCCGCCTGGGGTGAACGTAGTCGATGGTCGGTGGCTCTTCAAGGTGAAGCGCCCCCCTGGAGAGCCGCCTGTCTTCAAGGCGCGCTACGTGGCCAGAGGCTTCAGTCAGCGCGAGGGGGTTGACTTCTTTCACACCTTCGCCCCGACCCCGAAGATGACCACTCTTCGAGCGCTGCTACACGTAGCAGCACAGCGCGACTACGAGCTTCACTCCCTCGACTTCTCTACTGCCTTTCTTCACGGCAGCCTACACGAGCAAGTCTACCTGCGCCGACCACAGGGCTTCACTGGTACCTTCCCCCCTGGGACCCAGTGGCTTCTCAGGCGCCCGGTCTATGGCCTGCGTCAGGCTCCTCGCGAGTGGCACGACACACTGCGTGCCACGTTAGCAGACCTGCAGTTCTTTCCGTCCTCTGCTGACCCGTCGCTGTTTGTGCGTTTCGGCCAGACTCCGTTCTACATCCTTGTTTACGTAGACGACCTGGTATTTGCTATTGTTCACAGGGACGCACTGGCCTCTGTGAAGGCCTGCAGATCTTTAGGGACAGAGCAGCGCGCACCATCACTCTGACACAGTCACACCTGGTGCGTCAGGTCCTTCAGAGGTTCGGTCTTCAGTTCTCCTCCGCACAGCCCACACCTCTACCAGTAGACCATGGGCTCTCCGCTCCCGTTCCTAAGAAGCCAGTAGAGCCCAGTGGCCCCTACGCAGAGCTGGTGGGTTGCCTCATGTACCTGATGACTTGCACTCGCCCAGATCTCGCATACCCTCTCAGCATCCTGGCTCGCTTTGTGGCCACTGGCAGACACCGACCACAGCACTGGTCGGCCGCTAAGAGGGTTTTGCGATATCTAGCAAGTACATCGGGCATGGGGTTAGTGCTCGGAGGACGCAGGCCGGTGGTCCTCACTGGGCACACAGACGCTTCTTGGGCAGACGACTCTGAGACTCTCAGGTCAGCTCAGGGCTACTGTTTCAGCCTTGGTTCGGGTGCTATCTCTTGGAGATTCATTTGTTCGTCGTCTGTTGCTCAGTCCAGCTGTGAGGCTGAGATCTACGCTGGTGCCATGGCGGCACAGGAGCTTCGCTGGCTGACCTTCTTGCACACTGATCTAGGTGAGCGGTCTAGCTCTGACAACAGGGCCATGATTCTCCTGTGTCTGGAGCCTCGACTTGAGGGCAGAGCGAAGCATATCCAGCTGCGGTACTTCCTCCTGCGCGAGCTACAGCAGCGTCGCCAGGCCCACGTAGTTCACTTGGCCTCCGGTGCCAACATAGCTAATATCTTTACTAAGGCGTTTGCGCCTAGAGATCATCAGCGGCACTGTGTACAACTTGGTCTTGTTCCTGTAGCTTCTCACTTGTTAGGAACCTTATTGTGTACTCTCTACTATATATACATGTCAGACTGGACTAGTAGTGCCACCCTAGCCTCAGAGGTTGGACTAGTAGTGCCACCCTGAGCTGCGTGTCTCTTGCTGGTCGTTGCCCCTTGTCTATCCTAGGAGGTGTGTCAACGTATATTTGTATATTTTATAGGTTAGATAAGTGCATGCTCATAGAGAGTTCAACTCCTTGGGACAAAACCACCCTGTATCACTCATTCTACGTTGTTGAGAGACTCGACGGCCCTACCATAACGAAACGAGATGGATGGGTGGGAGGGAGGGGTGGGGAGAGGAGCACATCACACCAAAGAAATCCTTCCTCCGACCAAAGGAATCGCTGCCAAAGCCAGTGCCACATCCATCCTTCCTCCCACCAGGTCAGAGGTTACAACAGCTAATCACAACCACCATGAAAAGCCCATTAAATACTAGGTACATCAGGACTCAACTCAACCTTTTCAGGCCTTCAGGCCCTACCATATCATGACTCAACCTTTCCAGCCCCTGCAGCTCGAAAGTTTCCGCTGCCCTGACTCATGATTTTCGCCCGAGGGTTTCTCGTATTGGTGGAGGAGTTTCCGGGCGGGGAGGGAACTTGTGGCGGGGTGGGGTTGGGCAGCGAAGGGGACTGCGTCACTAGCGGCGGGGGTAAATTACCCCGGAAATGATCGTGAAAACGCCCGTCCCCTAGTTTCTCCTGTTCCATAATTTGCCTCTCTAGGGAAGATGCTTCTGTGCCTGCTGCTGCTTCCATTTCTAATCTTCCTTTTCCTCCCATGCCTCGTCCTCCCGGGCCTCTCCCTCTTCCCCCGCCCCCCCCTCCCCGTCCCTCACTTGCCCCTCCTGCTGCCCCTGCCCCTCTCCCCTCCCCTCGTCCTCCCATCCCTCCTCTTCCACCCCCCTCTCCCCTTCCTCCCACTCCTCTTCCTCCCCCCTCTCCCCTTCCACCCACACCTCTTCCTCCTTCCCCTCCTCTTCCTCCCCCCCCTCCCCTTCCTCCGCCCCCTCCCCTTCCTCCCCCCCTCCCCTTCCTCCCCCCTCTCCCTGCCCTCCTCCCCCTCTCCCTCCTTCCCCCCCTCGTGCTCCCCCCCCTCCTCTTCCTCCGCCCCTCCCCACACTGCTTCCGCGACTAGAAGTGCTACTAGCGGGGCTCTCCAGCTGCTGCTCTCCTTCACCCCTCCCGTTCATCCCCACTCCTCCCCCCCCTGCTGCTCTACCACCATCCCTTCCTCCACCTCCTCCTTCTCCCCCTCCCCCTCCCCCTCCCCCTCCTCCCCCCGTTCCTGCATCCAGTGGACCCATCCCATGCCCACGCTCACCCCCTCTTCCCACTCCTGCAGCAGCTGCAGGAGGAGGACCCGGGAGAGGGGCAGGTTGCTGCAAGGGTATTGAAGGCCCTCTTGGGTTGCTTCTCACACCCGACGCACCATTCGCACCTGATCCTGCTGCTGCTCCTGCTGCTGCTCCTCCTGCTCTTCCTCCTCCTCCTCCTCCTCCTGCTGCTGCTGCTGCTGCTGCTGCTGCTGCTGCTGCCCCTGTTGCCAGTCCTTCGCCTCTCCCACCCCTGTCTGCTGCCCCTGAGGCACCACCAGCAGCAGCACCGCCACCACCAGCGGCAGCACCAGCAGCAGCAGCAGCACCACCACCAGCACCACTAGCAGCAGCATCAGCAGCACCAGCACCAGCACCAGCAGCCAATCTCTCGAACCTTGCTAAAGCCTGATCGGTCGACGCCTGCAGCAGCCGCTGCTGCTGCAGTGGATTCAGCGCATGGCCCCGTTCACCTCCTATCTCCCCCCCCACTCCCCCTCCCGCTCCCCCTCCCGCTCCCCCTCCCGCTCCCCCCCCCACTCCCCCTCTCACTCCCCCTCCAGCTCCCCCTCTCGCTTCCCCTCCCATTCCTGCCTCCATCCTTCCTCCCACTCCCCCATTCATCCCGCTCCCCATCCCTGCTCCTCCCCCCCCTCCACCCAGCAGCCCTTGCAAGCTAGCCAGCCCTGCTAAACCCCTGCCCAGGCCGCCTAGCCCCCCTTCTCCACCTGCGGCCCCCCTCCCCCTCCCCCTCCCCCTCCCAGACCACCTGCTAACCCCCCTCCATTCCCCCCCCTCTTCCCCCTCCCCCTCCTGCTCCTCCCCGCTCTATTCTCCCCCCCACTTCCCCTTCTGTCCGCCCATCCAGCCCACTCCCCATCCCTATGCCTCCCCCCCCCCACCCAGCAGCCCTTGTAGGCTAGCCAGCCCTGCTAGTCCCCTGCCCAAGCCACCTAATCCCCCTTTCCCCCCTGCTGTTGCTGCTGCTGCTGCTGCTGCTGCCCCCCTCCCCCTCCCGCTCCACCTGCTCCTCCCCCTCCTCCTGAACCTCCCTGTCCCTCATTCCCATAGCTACTTCTCCCACCAGTACTTAAACTTTCCCCACCGGCACTTAAACCCTCCTGCCTTCTGTCACTTTCTGGGCTCTTAACCCCTGCTGCCGTACTTTCTATAGTCTGCTCCGCTAACCAGACTCTCAGTGGATTAAGCCTCTTTTTCAAAAGATCCTGTTCTGACGTAACCTTTGAGGGAAGACCTAGAACAGAGGACTGGGATTGGTTGGAGGGGGAAGTGGGGGATGTTGCTGCGTTTCCTGCTCTATGGTACTCGTTAGAAGCCGCCTCTCTATAAGCACTCTCTGCACTGTCCCCTGCCTCTAGCGAGATCTCGAAAAACACCCCCCCACTTCCACTTTCCGAGTCTACACTCATTTCCTTCCCTTCACCACTCCTTGTTCCTCTCCCCTCACTGCTACCAGGAACCCCCCTGTCATCTGCTGAATTGGCTTGACCCCTCCTTCCTCCTGCCCCTCCTGCCTCGTCCCCACTCTCTCGCCCACCTGCCCCTCTCTCTCCCCCCCTCTCGGCACCTTTGCCAGACATAGAACCCAGAGGAGCAAGAGCCGCTAATAAGTCTTCTTTAGAAATCGAGCCCCTTCTGTTCTTACTTAACCCTATTGGCATATCACTTTGCAAAGAGATAGAGTCCCCTCCCATACCTCCTCCTCCCGAGCCTCCTCCCAAACCTATCAGATTCCCTGCAGAGCGGCCACCCGGACCTCCGGGCAACCCTCCACCCGAGCCTCCTCCCAAGCCTCCAGCCAGGTTCTCCGCCGAACCTCCCAACGGCCCTCCAAACCGCCTCATGCCGTCCTCCTCCCCACCACTCACCACCTCTCTCCCTCCCATCCCTCCCATCCCTCCCATCTCTCCTCCCCCCCTCTCCCTCTCCCTTCCCCCACTGCCAACGCCGCCGCTGCAGCAGCAGCAGCCGCAGCAGCAGCGGCCGATTCCCTCTCCCTCTTCTCCCGCTCCTCCTTTTGAATCCTCGCTAATCTTTCCTCCATCCCCTCCTCCCACTCACTATCAGTCCCCTCCCACTCCGTCTCAGTCAACTCCCCCAACGTCGACCCCCTTCGGTGCCTCCTTCTCCTCCCATACCCCGATCCCATACCTAGCTCCCCGCCGAAGCTGTTCCCCGAACCTCCCAGCAGGCCCGTACCAAACCCTCCGAACCCACCACCGCCGCCACTGCTGCCGGTACTTAGCGGGCTTCCCAAGGGGCTCCCTAGAGGGCTCCCTAGAGGGCTCCCTAGGGGGCTTCCCCCTAAAGGACTTCCCCCCAGGGGGCTACCGCCTAAGGGACTGCCCCCACGGGGGCTCCCCCCTAGGGGGCTACCTAGTGGGCTATGTAAGGGGCTGTGTAAAGGGCTGCCTCCTAGGGGGCTGCCTAGGGGTCCGTGTGCTATTAACGAGGGGGTGGTAGACACACGTCCATTAGAGGCACCACCAATGAAAGCACCACTGCCAACAGACATTCCCGAAGAACCAGAGCCAGCATTCCCCCCCAACCCTAGGCTAAGGCTTAAATGACTCCCCAAACCGCTTGCGCTCCCTGCTCCTGCTGCTCCTCCTGCTCCTGCGGCTCCTCCTGCTCCTGCCCCGCCTGCTCCTGCTGCTGTGCCGCCCAAACCTGCTGCTGCCGCCCCTCCCCCACTACCCCCCGAAAGTCGCCGGCCATGCCCTGAGCTATGCTCGTGCCCATGCCCATGCCCATGCCCATGCCCATGCCCATGCCCATACCCATGTGCATGTGCATGTGCATGTGCATGTGCGTCTGTTGCCTCATGTGTAGCCCCATCCATCACCCCCTCACCTTCACCCACCATCCCCATCCCCATCCCCATCCCAGTGCCCATGCCCATGCCCATGCCCATGCCCATGCCCATGCCATTCCCACCCAGTCCCCCTACCGAAGCTGCCGCCTTTTCTATTTCTGCCTTCATCATTTCAGCTGCCAGACCTAGCCTCTTCTCCCGAGCCTGCTGCCGAGCCAGCTGCCGTTCCTCCCTCCGGAGCTCCAGCTCTTGGTCCGTATCATACTCCTCCACCTCCACCTTCTTCTCGAGCCGCCACAAGCGCTCCTGCCTCTCCCTCCTCTTCGCCTCCTCCCTTTCCTCCCTCTCAGTATCATAATCACCCTCAGTTGTCTCACCCTCTGTGTTTGTGTCTAGCCCTTTATCCCTCCACCTCTCCAATCGACCATGTATGCTTTCGTCATCCGAAGCGGAGATGTAACCGCCGCCCCCGCCGCCCCCGCCGCCACCAGACGACACATAACCGCCGCCCGCCCCGCCGGATGAGACGTAACCGCCGGCCCTGCTGTCAGATGACATGTAACCGCCGCCCATGCCTGATGAGATGTAACCGCTGGTGCCGCCCTGACCTGAGGTGGCGGCACTGCCTCCAGCCCCATACCCCAACCCTAGTGCCCCGACTGCTGGCCCTGTTGTTGCTCCAGAACCAGCACCACCAGCAGCAGAACCAGAGGCAGCAGCAGCAGCAGCAGCACCACTCATGCTGCCAGCGCCAGCAGCGCCCCTTCCTGTCATGGTGGCAGCATTAGTAGCGTCGTTGGTAGTGCTAACCGCGCCATTCTCGTCCGGAAAAAAACCAGCAAATGAGAGTGTGCGGGGCGGGGGCGAGAGAGGGGAGAGGGGGGAGAGAGAGAGAACCGAGGAGGATAGAGGGGAGAGCGGGGAGAGCGGGGCAAGAGGGGAGCGAGGAACGGGGGAAGGGGATTCGGAGGAGGATGCGGGGGATGGAGGAGTGGCTAGTCCGGGACTGACACTAAATCCGGACGAGACGCTTCCTAGGGGGGAGTTCACTGCCGAACCTGCTGCCGAGCCTCCGGCAGGAGAGGCTGTGCCGAAGCTGGGTGCGGCAGAACTGGTTCGGGAGAGGAGCGATAAGCTGCCGGTCTTTCGGTGGGCCACAATCCCTTCCCACCCTCCTCCCCATCCTTCCCCTCCTCCTCCACCTCCTCCTCCTCCTGCTCCTGTTCCTGCCCCTCCCCCCCCTCCCCCTCCTGCTGCTCCAACGCCCCCAACGCCCCCTCCGCCTCCTCCGCCTCCTCCGCCTCCCCCCCTCCTCCACCTGCCTGCCCTCCTGAATCCCCCACCCGCCCCAGCGTCAACTTGAGGAAATGCGGAGGAAGCAACCTGCCGCCGCCCACCCCAGAATTGGGCGGCGAGAGCGAAGCAGTGCGTGCTATCCCTAGGGGGCTCCCCCCTCTCCCCCCAAAGCCTAACCCTGCAGCAGCAGAAGCTCCCCCTTCCTGCATTAAAATAGACGACATAAGCCGAGGCACCCCTTCCCCTAGGCTGTGGATACTAGTACCCCCACCACCACTGCTACCACCACCACCACCACCACCGCTGGTGCTAGAATTACTTCCAAGGGGACTAGAATCAATACTGCTACCACCAGCATCAGCACCCCCACCCCCACCACCGCCACCAGCACCACCGCCACCCCCGCTGCGACTGGTGATACCCGCAATCCCACTAAGGGTTCTCCCAAGACCTCCTGGACTCGTCCCTTTGACAAACGCAGTCAATTCCGCTTCACTCATCGTCACCGAGCCTGCTCCCCGACCCGCCAGCCCCGAGCCAAACCTCCGAACCGGCAGGTTCGCCAGCTCAGGATCGGTGGCCGGTAGCCATGGCACCTGGGGTCGTAGGTTCGGCGCGAGGGAGTGGTGGGAGGGGGAACCAGACGAGGGCGAACCAGGGGAGGTGGGACTTAGGGACGAGCCTAGCATATTCAACCTATCCACAGCGAATCTGGGGTTGGCGCTGCCCCAGGTAAAGCCTCCTCCGGATCCGCCCCGTAGGACTGAAAGGTCTACTGAGGCGTGGCGAACTAGGGCTGAGGCGGCCAGGCGTTGGGCTGGGGAGCGATTAGCAGGGAGCTGGGAGCGAGGGGGAGGGGTGGGAATATGGTGGGGCATCCCTGCCCCCCCTCCTCCTCCTCCTCCTCCTCCTCCTGTTCCCCCGCTGCTACTCTGCTGCCCTCCCCCCAGCTGCTGCTGCTGCTGCTGCTGCTGCTGCTGCTGCTGCTGCTGCGCTCTACCAGGGCTCACCACACCCCCTCCTCCCCCCCTCACACCCCCTCTCGGGCTCGAGTCCCTCCCAGGAGAAGCACCTCCCCCGGTTCCACCCTCCCCAGAACCACCTCCACCACCAGCACCACCACCAGCGCCATCCGCACCGTCCTCATTCCCACTAGAGGCTGGCAGCAGCCCGAGAGTCTTGGCCGCTTCCAACCGCTTCATAGCCACCAGCTGGGCGGCCGCCAGCCCCCCGAACCCCCCGCTGCTGCCCAGCCCGCCGCTCATTTCCAGCAGCTCGGCAGGTGGCGCCGACATTTGCCGCCCATGGAAGCGCAAACCGGGAGATCCAGCCAGCGAAGCAGCAAAGCCGGAACCAAGCCCAGAACCGAACCCAGAACCAAAAGCAGAGCCAACAGCAGCTGCTGGCGGTTTCTGCACTCGCTCCAAAGGGGTTCCTGCAAGCAATGGTGCCACTCCTGCTCCCCCTGTCCCCCCTCCTCCCCCCCCTCCCCCAGCACCGTGAGATCCGCCAGTAGAACCCGCACCAGTTAGCCCTTCGAACAGGGGAGACGGCGGGGGGGAGGTAGGCGACTCAAGGGGCGTGCCTCCCCCTCGTCGCCCCATTCCGCCACTCCCCTTCCCCCCAGCAACCCCCCCCGCCCCAGCACCCGCACCCGCACCAGCACCAGCACCAGCAGCAACACCAGCAGCAGCCGCAGCAGCGGCGCTAGCTTCTAGCCTGGCAGTAAAAGCAGCGGCAGAGGCAGCAGCGTGGCCTGACGCGCCTGTGACTGCTGCTGCGGCAGCAAAGAGGGCTGCTTCGGCTGCAGAGGTGTGGCCCGCTGTGGATGATCGCCCCAAGGGGCTGGGGCGGCGGGGTTTCTCTATTCGAGGGAAGATTGTTGCGAACACTGGTGGCTGCTGCTCCTGCTGCTGCTGCTGCTGCTGCTGCTGCTGCGGTTGGTGCTGCTGCTGTTGCTGCTGCTGCTGCTGCTGCTGCTGCTGCTGGTGTTGTTGTTGCTGCTGCTGCTCCTGCTGCTGCTGCTGTTGCTGTTGCTGTTTTTCTTGCTCCCTATAATTCTTCACAGCTGCGAAGCCTCTGAAACTCGCCTCCGTTTCCTCCTCCTCCTCTTCCTCCTCTCCATCCTCCTCCTCCTCCTCTTCTTCCTCCTCCTCCTCTTCTTCCTCCTCCTCCTCTTCTTCCTCCTCCTCCTCCTCTTCCTCCTCCTTCTCCTCCTCCTCCTCCTCCTCCTCTTCCTCCTCCTCCTCTTCCTCCTCCGTTATATCGCCATCCGAACCATCTCTTTCCTCCCTTCCCCGCCTGTCTCGGCTGCGCATGCCATACAACCCTAGCACTCGCGACTTTAATCTCCTAGTTCCCAGAATATCCCCCTTACCTTCACTCCCCGAGTCGCCATCAAGGGAAAGCGCGGACCACCCGTCATCCGACAACTCCCCTTCCCCCCTTAACTCCGCCTCCCCCGCATCTTCCGCCTCGTGTTGCGCAACATACAGCTTTAAACCTTTCCCCGAGCCGCCGCTCTCATCAAGAAACCCTCCCACCTGTCTATCAGGGACTTTGACTTTAATTAATCTCACTCCCCCATCCCCCCACCACCCGCCGAGAGCCATCTCCGTCGCCCGCGCTCCCCCTTTCCCGCCCTTTCCCCCGCCCCCCCTCCCCCGGACCTCCCCTTTTTCCCGCCATTTCCAATCGCGACCCTAGCCGCTGCTTCGATCGCGTCGGCCGCGTCTTCGAGAGCCGCCGCGGCGCGCTCTCCCATGCGCGCGCTCTCTTCCCGCGCTTTTTCCACGTCACGCAGGACACGTGTCATCTCCTCCTGAAGCCTGACCGCCTCCCTGCGAGCCCGCGTCGCCAGCCCTGCAAGGAGCGCCACATCCAAGAAATCGCTGCCCTGAACAGGCCGCAGCATGCCGTTAATCGGACGGCCTGCATTTCTCCCCTTTCCCCCGATTCCCCCCCCTCCCCGCCGCTCCCAGTCCTGCCATGCCCGCTTCCGCCCCCGCCGCTGCTTCCGCGCGCGCGCTTCTCCGCCTTTTCCCCCCCGGAGAACCCCTTTTGCCACTGTTTGCGGAGCTGATTCTCCGCGCGCTCGAGCTCTACCGTCTGAAGCGAAGCCGCCTGGATAATCTGCTTGTCGCCCAGCACTGCCCGCTTCTCCCCTGGGAAGCTCCCGGCGACTCCGTCGTGCGAAGCTCTGTGCGAAAGATCAGGGTCTGCGAAAAATCGCATCATCGTCTGTCGCTGTGCGACGTCGCTACGTGTAGGATAATCGCATGGCTATGGTTGATGCGGCTGTCGACCATCAGAGAGCTGGGGTGCGAAACGGTTGGACGATTACGCACCAATGTTGATACTCCTACTCGGTTAAGCTCAGTCTTTTTTAAGGCACAATTAATATTGTACGGCAGAACGAGCTTCTCAAGCGTACAGACGTTTAGCACGTCAGCTGAGAAAGGATGCGCAATTTGCTGAGATGCTGGCTAGAATTAACTATACCATTCGACGCAAAGGCATAACTAAGATTGTAGTCTGCTGAAGATAGTGAGCGGAAGACACGGAATAGGTGATGGTGCTTAGCACTGGTGCTTCAGGAACAAAAGCAGCTCACGGGAACTAGGAGTGAGCACAACACAAGAGGACGAAGAGCGAGTTCCTCCTGAGCACATCTGGTGGTGGTTGGCTGAGCAAGAAGCAGTTTCTAGGACCTTGAGATCATCGCCTTTCGCCAACGTTCGCCAAGGGCTGGGTCATCAGCAGCAGCACCCGCAAACGAGGATTTTTGTCGGAACAGCAACGGTTAGCTTTCGCATTCATTGTCGTCGCAAAATGTAACAGCAGTCAGTTTCTATCGCGGTGCTCCATGTCCCTACGGCGAACTTCTGGCGACAAATTCGCGCACTGCAGCTTCGATATTGTCGCAGGTACGGCACGACAAGAACCAGTGTGGTTGGTTGGTCCCTTCAAGGCAAACCCAAGGTCGTCCTCCCTTCTCAGCCCAAACCAGGTACACGACAAAACACCCAGCCGTGGCTTCGTGAAGTGGCGCAAAACAATTGTGTGGCTCGCATCGCAAGCTCAGCCCCACAGGCTTGGGAATAGCCCTGGCCTGGTCTGGATTTCATTTTGGGCGATTTCCAGACCCGGAAAATAGGTACGGGGCTGCAGCAAGGCAGTTTTACAGGGCCCAAAACCGCAACAATCGTTCAATTTGGTTGTGGCGGAACAGACACCCAAGGCAGGTTTTGCTATGGATGTACAGCTTCGGTTTGTGCCTTGGTTAGTTGGCGGTGGCTCGGAGCAGCAGCAGCACCCCCCAAGTTCAAGTACAGTTGAGAGGTTTGGACGATAAGAGATAAAGCTGTATGACCCTCCCAAGTGCACTTTACAGAGCCTGACAATAGAGGAGCATTTGCAAGATAAGCTCCATGGAGAGATGTAGTTGCTTGAGAACTGTGAGCAGCTGTAGATCATTACGACTGACTTACTTAGTCCACGTCAGCTCCTATTTGTGTTCTGGCTTGAAAGCCTCACGATCCCACCTCCTGGCATCGACTTCAGTGCTTCTAGCAGCAATCGCAGCCGTCCAATTTCTATAGTAGCTGTTTTCCTCCTTATCATCGGCACCCTTCCACCTGCAGCTCGCGAGAGCTCGCCACACTTTCGCGAAAGTTCTCCACTTTTCGCGACAAGTCGTCATTGTTCGCCACATTCGCTTGTCTTCGCGACGATCTCGCCATGGATCCGAGCCCCATTCGCACTCAGGTCCAGCAGCTGATCTCACGAGCTCTCACCGGCATTCCCCCCCTCCCCGCATCTCACGGCACCCCTGTAAATAATAAAGACACCGATTCCAATCGGGTTCCCTTAAAGCCACTCCCGCAGGCTCTCGCGAACGCGGGAAACCCTAACGCGTGTAAGATCTGCCACGTGGACATTCTAGGAGGTCCTAAGTTCCGGATCTGCCTCTCCTGCGGTGCGCCGTCGCATCTGTACCCCGCAACTCGGTCGTCCCTGGATGGGGATTTAAGTACGGGGAGGTCGAGCAGGCAGAGCGTGGGAAGCGGAGAGAGGACTAGCGATGCTAGTAGGGGTAGCTCGGACAGCAGCTCTATTCCGGGGACGAGTGTATCGGCGACGACAAATGCGAGTAACGAGAAGAGCTTATGGCGAAACACGCGGATCGAACGGCGGTTTCTGATGTCCCTTGAATTCAAACCGCAAGACGACAAGGTACGTTACCAGTCGCTTTTCTCTCTTTCCTTCTTATACTGACAAGACTAGTCTACAGATTTTGAAGATGACACGGTATTATATTATACCACTCACTCTGCTTCCCCGCTCCTCCCTGAGCCCTGTCCCATGAACAGACTATCAGGTTATTTGCTAGGCTTATAAGGGATCTTCGTCGTGTCGCCATTGGGACAATGATAATTCGTTTCATCTGGAAAGGAACCGTGTCATTACTTTCCTCTTTGCTTTGGTCGTTTTCTTGCCCGACATTATTGTCAGCGTCGTCGCTCCTCCTCCACCCCGCCGTACGAGCGCACTGTTGCCGAAACCCTAGCAGGCATCAGCGCGCCTCCATTTCCCCATACTGTTCCCTCCCTCCCTTCCTTGTCTTCTTTTGAGGCGCCTCAAAACTAGACTCCCTCCCTTGTCTTCCCATGATCCCATCCCCTCCCCTCTCTCAGCATCGCCGGTCCTCCTCCACCCAGCCATTTGAGCGCACTCTCGCCGAAACCCTAGCAGGGCCCAGTGCGCCTCCCCTCGGGTGTCAACTTTGCTCCCATGTCTCTAACATTCCTTCTCTCCTCCGTATCCCCCCTCTTGGCCCCCTCAGCGCCGTCGCTCCTCCTCCACCCAGCCATACGAGCGCACTCTCGCCGAAACCCTGGCGGGCATCAACGCGCCTCCCCCAGATGTCACCTCCGCACGGGGTAGCACCACCGAGCGCACCTCGAATGTCACCTCTGCACGCGGCAGCACGGGTGAACCTCCCTCAGATGCCACCTCCACGCGAGGTAGCACCTCTTCCTCTGCATCTTCTACTGCCGGTGCTGCTGGTGGGGGAGCAGGCGCAGGAGCAACAGCAGCAGGCGCAGGAGTAGCAGCAGCAGGAGGAGGAGCAGCAGGAGCAGGAGGAGCAGGGGGAGCAACCGCAGCAGCAGCAGCAGCAGCAGCGGCAGCGGCAGCAGGTGGAGGCATTTCGGCCTTTGCACCAGCACCAACAGCAGCAGCAGCAGCAGCAGCAGCAGCAGCACCACCTCCTGCGCCCTCTCAAGCTCCTGATTTTATCCCCGACGATTTCTTCGCCGCCCCTCCTCCTCCCTCCACTTCTGTTCCCCCTGCTCTCTCTGCTGCTGCCTTCCCTGCTCCTGGTGCCCCCCCCACCACTGTAGCCGCCGCTGTCCTTGCGGCCACGTCAGCATCAGCTGCCTCCACGTCAGCTTTCCCAGCTGCGGTTCCCGCCATTCCCAGTGCCAATGCAGCAGCAGCAGCGTCGGCAGCCACCCCATCGTTCTTTGCTGCCAGCTTTGGGACCTCCTCACCTGCCAAGTCGGGAGGAGGGCAGCAGGCGGGAGGGCAGGCCGTTTCTGCCCCAGAGAGGCACAGCAGGTATGGCCGGCCCCCATGTTCCGTTTCTGCCTGCATTGTGCTTTTCTCTCTGCTTCCAAACACTGTTACGAGCTTCTTCATCGCCTCCCTATGCGCTACGTTTTTACCTGTATTTTCATGTCTGTCACCACTTGTTGCGCCTTTCCGCGCGGCATTGGTTTTTCGTCTCTGACCACCTTTTCTCAGCTCAGCGGTGGCTTCACATGCTCCTTCCTTCCTCCCAGCGGTGGCCTCTCTGCTTCTCTTTGTTCGCATGCCCTTTCCCATCTTCTGATTTTGATCACTTTTCCCATGCCCTTTCCTCTCCACTTTCACCCACCCTTCCCTCGCTCCCTCCTCACTCAGCAGTGGTTCTTCTGCTCTGGACTTCTTTTCCCAGCTCAGTGGCATCACAAGCTCTGTCCTTTCTGGCACCACCACCTCGTCCTCTTCTGCTCAACCCACCGGCCCCACTCACACCAACGATCCTGCTGCTAACATGGCTGGCTTTGCGGGCAGTTTCCCTGGGAGTCAGCCGTACTCCTCTCACGACGGGCAGTTCGGGCAGTTCGTAAAACAGGAGCCGGCGAATCTGGTGGTGCAGGATATTTTGCAGTCGCTGCCCGACTTGTCCTTCATGCTGGCAGATCACCTGGTTGTGCCTGGAAGGGACCCGGGGGGACTCAGGGAGTTCAACAGCCGGCCAAAGGTTTCTGCTGCTTCTATAGTTGCATCGTGCCTGCCCCCTCGAGCAACCGTAGCAACCGCAGCGGCATCGGCAGGAGCAGCAGGGGCAGCACCAGGAAGAACAGCAGCAGAAGCAGGAGCAGCAGGAGCAGCTGGAGCAGCAGGAGCAGCAGGAGCAGCAGGAGCAGGAGCAGCAGAGGCAGGGCATGGCACAGGGCTCGTAACACCTTCAGCGGGAGCAAATGGCCTTTTTGATTCAGCAGAAGGAAGTGTGAGTGTAGAATCTACAAACGCAGCAGCTACAATGGAGGCGGAAGGAAGTGCAATGCAGGAGCCGACAACAGCTGGACTTAATTCTTTGGACAATGTCCCGGCTCCGTTAGTAGGCCATGGTGCCAATACGGTTTTTGCTCCTCCTGCTGCTGTTGCTGCTGCTTCGGCTGCTGGAGCTGACCTTGTGGCGGTTCCTGTTGCAGAAAGCTCGGTTTCTTCTGTGGTTGCCGGAATGTCAATGGGTGGTTTTATGGCTGATGAAGAGGAGGATGACGACTGGGGCGATTTTGAGTCGTGATTGAGAATGTTGGCTGAACCTGGGCTGAGGGGTGCAGGAGCATTTTGTGTTCTGCACGGTTTGGTTCAAATCAGTTGCTTTTGAGTGATGTTTTTTCTGATACTTCAGTTACGCTATGGATTCTCTTGCAAGTTCAGTTCTCGTATGGTATGGACCCCTGATCTTAAGAACGATATATCGGGTTTCATTTCCCTAACGAATTCTCCTCCAATTGGTTCAACGTTCTTCAACCCTATTTGATGCGCGTTTTCACGCCATGGCAAACTCTGTCGCCAGCAACAGTCGCCATGTCGCCACCGTCACCCCACTCCATCACGTACAGGTCGCTTTGTGAACCCTGGGGTTACCGAATCCCGAAATATCCTCCCAGCCGCGCAACTCCCCGCTGAACGTTCCCGCGTCAAGTCATTTCGTTTCGTTTCTCCTCCGCCACCACGTCATTTTTCCCGTGCTCGCTCCGCTGGCTGCACTTTTTCTCCGCCTGGCGTACCCATCTTTTCACTCCCGCGCATTTCTCCGCGAGACCACCCCGTCAGCCCCGTAGTTGAACCCAACTTCCCGCCCTTTTCCGCCCATCCACCCCCCCGTCCTCCCCCCCCTTCCGCCCCCCTTCCATCTTCCCCAGTGCTTGCTTGGCTACCTTTACCCCCCCTCCTCTCCCCCACCTCCCATTCGATTCTCTCTCAATACCCTACTCAACCGCTCTAACATTTTACTGAACCGCTGTAGAACGTAAAGTTGAAGGTGATGGACAAGGCCACCTCACCCAACACCACCATCACCACTACCACCACCATAGCTTTCACCACCTTTCGTCCGCATCTGCCGCTTCTTCTTTTGCGGCTTTCCTGCCACGGCCACGTCAGTTGTTAATCGGTGTCCCAGTCAGTTGCTTACAGATTCTAATGGTGGTCGCTGGCAGGAGCCGTTTCGCTTAGTGCCTTTCCTTCGCTTGACGGTGTGACCTCGACTTTTGTGTGGCATTCTCACCTCACCCTCCTCTGTCGTTCCTTAGTTGTCGGCTAGTGCAGGGAAGTAATTTCGTCCATAGTAAGCAGTCCTGCGTCCCGCTTAGTTAAGTTGCAGAATTCAGATCCAAAGTGACGCTTGAAGCTGCTCTTAGCTAAGTTACTCCGTCCGTAGCTAAGTTATTTCGTCTCCGACTCAGTCTGATACGCCAATGCTACGGCAAGCCTGTTATCGTGGCTGTTACAATTCACCTGCCGAACGTTGACAGCAGGACTTTTCTTCACCTGAGCAGTTTCCAGATCATTTTCAGATTCACGTTCACAGCAATCTGAGATTGAACTCCAGATCGTTTTCAGGTTCACGTTCACAGCAGGCTGAAATTGAACTCCAGATCGTTTTCAGGTTGGTCGCCATGGTAGAATTGGCGGACGCGAGCTGCTCTGAGTGGGACGACGACTGCTCCAATCACTGCTCAAATGCACTACCAGAGGGCTCTCCAGCGGGTAACTCTTCACCGGAAGACCCTTCAGCAGAAAGCTCTTCAGCAGCCGAGAGCCATTCAGACTGCAAATCCCTGATTTCCGGGGCTTTAGGGGGATCGGCGGTAGGATCGGCGGTAGGGTCGGCGGGGGGAGCGGAGGGTGTAGTTTCGCCGATAGTCCCGGAGTGTCCGGTGTGCTTGGAGCTGTACGATCAGGAGCAGCGCGTTCCGCGGTTGGTCGCGTGCGGGCACACCATCTGCCAAGCGTGCGCCCGGAATCTCCCTCTGACCCGGGTAGGTACCGACACTGGATGCCCACCTTGGGAATGCCGAGTGTCCGGTGTGCTTGGAGCTGTACGATCTGCCAAGCGTGCGCTCGGAAGTTCCCTCTGACCCGGGTAGGTACCGACACTAGCCTGTGCCCGGAATGTCCTTTTGACCTCGGTAGGTACCGTTTCTGAGTGTGCACCTTGGGAATGCCAGAAATCTGCCTTCGACTCGGGTGGGCGGGCAGTACTGCTGACTTCAGAAGTATCACGGCTGATGCTTTGAATCTCCCTTCAGACCGATATAGCATCTGGCGGTGATCTATGAAAGCGGTGGCTTCTTATCGCCTCTGGTCATTTACCGTCTCCTCCAGTCGCGTGATTCTTTCCCGTCGCTGCTTATCCCCTCGCCTGTCGAGGATCCAGGTTAACTTTCTGCTGTAAAGCCAGCACAAGGCCTACCAGTGCGTCCCAGTCATCCTGGTGCGTCATTCCTCACTGTGGTACTCGCTCACCCCCTGTGTTCCTGCCTCCTCCCATGGCAGGATTTTTTCGGGAAGAAATGCATCAGCTGCCCGGAGTGCCGGTGCCTGGTCGTATGGAAGGGCCTCGCAAGCATGCCCAAGAACTTCGCCCTCCTTCGCCTCATCGCCGACGCAAAAGACTGTCCGAGAGAAAAACGAGCCGCCACTCAAGCCATGGAAGTCTGTCGAACCAGACTAGGCTCCAAACAGATGGTTTTTCAAATCGCGGATCTGCTCTCCGTGGTTTCCGTACTTTTCGGGATTCTTCTAGGGATGTGCGTTTTCGTCCCGCTCTGCTGCGTGTATCTCGCTCTGGGTTGGAGCATTGCCGCTCTGACGTTCCTCGCATTCTCGATTCTTTCAACGGCAGCCGTTGGATTCGCTGCTGCTGGGCTCTTCTCCCTGCTCTCGTACAAAACCCTCAAGTTTCTAAACGTCTGCTCGTGACTGGGTGACTTCTGTGGTCTGTGCGACTGCCATGTGTCACCATTGTTATCTATATAAGTTATGTATTGCGATTTGAGATTTGTCTGGTCTTGCCTCTTCCATTCACTCTTCCACCTCCGTTTTCTAGGTTTTCCCCTTCCACTTCTAGCATCTTTTTCCCCTTTTTCTTCCCTGCTTACTGACTCATACCGGTATCTCGCTTCCTCCTTTCTTCCCATCCCCACTTGGACATAGAGATATAGGAGTGAATAATAATGTCAAAGCGCTATTCGATCACTTGTGTACAGTTGGGCGTAGTTATATGCGATGGCTGTGGCAGTGTGGCGTAATAATTGCTCATGTTGATGCGACATCCGCATCCAGAGCTTGTTGGGTGAACAGGCTGTATCTCATTCGCTGTACGCACGCTTCTTCCTGGCCGCTCCACTTGCCCGCAATGATGTGCCCTGCCCTTCGAATCACCAAGCTTCTCCAGCGATTACGGAACCCCCTTTACTGTCACTCCCATCCAGATTGCTGACTGGGCTGCCCACTTGAGGCTGCCACCCGCGGGTGCTCCCTTCCATAGAGAAAGTTATTCGTGAAGTTGGCCAAATCTCCCTCGGCAACTGACACCCCCGAGAGACTGACGCTCCCTAGACGCTCCCTAGGGACTGACGCTCCCTAGCCGAATTCTCCTCTCCTGACTCCTTATCAGTGAACCACACAGCTTACTGGTCGCAAGATTTCCGGTCATGCGTCTTTCCCGCGCATAACAGGCCCTCCCTTCCATAGCGCTAGGTTTGGTGAGTATACCTCGCTGTTTGATCCTACACTAGTTTGTTACCCTAAATCCGAGTCAGCTCGGATTAATCGTGACGTAGGACCAAGAGCACATGGTTATTTCCATATACGTCTCAAGGGCGAGCTAGATCCCCGAAAGACTTTTGAGTCGACTCAAGAGTCGTCTCAAGGGCGAGCTAGATCCCCGAAAGATGCCAGTTCAAGTGGCGGCTCAGATGCCATGTGAAGTCATGGCGTCGTCTCAGCACTAGCACCTACCGGTGCATTGTACCGCAGTTCACTCCTCGTCACCTCACAGGACCACTCTATGCGACCCAGATATGCTGCTGACGTCATTTCTCTGATCAGTCAGATCGCGATGTGGATTCTATCTGATACGTTCCAGATCCTGTTGCACCCGAGGAGATAGTCGTTTACAGCAGGTGAGAATCTGCTATTTTCGAGGATCAAAGGAATAGTTATTTCTTTTGTCAACTCCTTGGGTCATTAGGTTAATCGCGACGAAGACTGATTCTTAGGCGAAGCTTAAATACCCACGTATTCATCTCTTGAGCGCTCTGAGATTTATTAGAGGGTTCTGATTACCAGGCTATCTCCGTCTCACTGGATCGCTGTCGGAATCACAATACACCATGTAGCGGAATGCGTTTACGGATTTCTGGTTCTAAGCTTGAAAACGCCATATAGGCGCAGTCGTCGAGTAGCAGTGTTTACAGATTTGCTGTATTTAGCATCAAATCTGATGAGTTTATGTAGCCTGAGACTGGCGCGAGGCGGGATCATACTACGGCTGCATTGCAAATGTATGTATCTCAGCCTGATACCAGGCTTTCCTGAACCCGTGCTGGGTTGAGTACGCCACGGGTTTCAGAACTCAAGACTCCACGAACGACTCTTGAATCGACTCGATATCAGGCTCCATAGCGGACTCCAATAGGCGCTATAGAAGAACATTCGGCTTCCTGGTTTCCAAAGACTCTCGAGTCGATTCAGATGTCACATCGCTGCCAGACTCATAGCTTCTCATGGTTTTAAGACTCTGCCAGCTGTCTTCTCACTGCCATGGTCGTCTGAGTTCGTCTCCCATTGTCGCCGTAGCATCCTGAGTTGACGAAGTCGGCTGCGAATTCTGCGATTTTCGCGAAAGTAACGCCGAGCATCTTCCTCGCGGAAAATACCGCAGTATATCTCCTGCATTTCCTCGGGCCAATTTCGGCGTCATAGAAGCGCTTTCGCTTAATTTTTACGACCGTTACCCTAGTGCTTTCGCCTCAGAAGCCCTACGAGGATCTCGTAATACAAGCCGAACCTGTACAGTCAAGTCCTCATCTCTCGATCCCTGACTCGCCCCCCTCTCCATCCCTTCTGTTATTCCCCCCTCTTTCCTCTCCCCGTTGTTTCTCCCCTTCCGAACCCCCGATCCCTGCGTTCCTTATCCCTTCAGCACCTGTTGTAAAAGCCCTTCATCGCCCGTTTCTCAAGGTAGAAACGCCTGCAGTCGCCAGCACCGGCTAGCAAGAAACACTGGGGAGGCCGTTTCCCCTCCCCCCAATGGCTCCCCCTTCCACGTCGCGCTTTAGCGGGAAGTCCGCGGAGAGGCCTAGCGAAGGCGGAGTAACCACGCGAAAGAGTTACGAATACGACGGCAGCGGTAACGGAGGTAGCGTGTCGTCATTTGAACCCATCGGCGAGCGGGCGGAAGGAAGCTTCAAGGAAGGGAGCGCCAAGGACCGGTTCAGGACCGCCAGGAGCGTCAAGCGGGGAAGCTCGCCGGCAAGGAGACCGGTGGATGGGATCATGCACGAGTACCAGATGCAGAACGCCGCTGCGCGCCGAGCAGAGGCGTCCAACAACAAGAAGGGAATCCGGGGTACCGTGCTTTTCATGGTGAGTGGCCGGCAGGGCCTGTTTCAGTGGCGGGGCTTGTTTGAGTGGCGGGGCCTGCTTGAGTGGCGGGGCTTGTTTGAGTGGCGGGGCCTGCTTGAGTGGCGGGGCCTGTTTGAGTGACGGGGCCTGCTTGAGTGGCGGGGCCTGCTTGAGTGGCGCGCTCTATCTAGTCAGGTATGAAACGGAGCAGTGCCTGGAGCTGGGTCGCTTTTGAGGCGCCTCAAAAGCACTAATTAGATACGAAACGGAGCAGTACCTGGAGCTGGGTGGATGGGATCATGCAGTACCAGATGCAGAACGCCGCTGCGTGCCGAGCAGAGGTGTCTAACAACAATAGGAAAAGAATCGACGGCACTGTGCGTTTCCTGGTGAGTGGCAGGGTTTATATGAGTGTCTATGGGAGTGGCAGGGTCTATGTGAGTGGCAGGGTCTATTTGAGTGGCAGGGTCTATTTGAGTGGCATGGTCTATGGGAGTGGCAGGGTCTATGTGAGTGGCAGGGCCTATGGGAGTGGCAGGGTCTATGTGAGTGGCAGGGCCTATGGGAGTGGCAGGGTCTATGTGAGTGGCAGGGTCTATGTGAGTGGCAGGGTCTATGTGAGTGGCAGGGTCTATGTGAGTCGCAAGGACTCTTTGAGACTACTCGAAATGCACCGGTACCAGGAGGCTGGCGGATGGGATCATGCACGAGTACCCACCACATGGGGAGCTTCTTCCGATGCTTCGTTCCAACAACGGGAGCTTACACACACCCTTCCCCTCTTTCCCCACCTCCCTCCCTCACTCCCCACTCTCTCCCCTCTCTCCCCTCTCCCCCCACCACTGCCCCCCAACCTGGTCTTCCCCGCCAACAGCACCCACCGGGCCACCCCCCAACCACCCCCTCTCTCCCCTGTCAGATGCTGCTCGTCTGCTCTGCGGCTGTTGGCTGGGGGGCTACCAGTACCAGCAATCCCTCTCTTTTGAAGTAACTCGGTCTTGGAATTGGAGTCGGCTGAAAGAAAGCTCTTCTTGCCCCCTCCGCCGCCCCCCTCCCTCCCTTGTCAGATGCTGCTCGTCTGCACTGCGGCTGTTGGCTGGGGGGGCTACCAGTACAAGCAAGCCCTCTCTCTCGAGGTAAGGGGGCGGTGACCTTTGAGTTTGAGGGGAGCAAGATTTTTTCGAGGTAACGCCGGTGTTAGGCCATATGGTTAACGGCTTTCAGGTAAACAGTACAGTGCGTATTCCCATGCCCCTCTTTGTTTTGAGAAATCTAGACACACGTGACTGCTCGGCTGGTGTGGGTTAAGTGCACGCACGCAAGAGCGTGCGTGTGTGAGTGAGTGCAAGGGAGGGAGGGCGTGCGTGTGTGAGTGAGTGCAAGGGAGGGAGGACGTGCGTTGCGCTAAGGAGAACACGGCGCTTCAGTGTATCACCAACGACCCGTCACCCCATTCCCCCCTTTTCCCCCTTTCCCCCTTTTCCCCCTCTTTCCCCCCGATTCCCCCCTTTCCCCCCGCCACCCTTTCCCCTCCATGCTCACGTCCCCTGCTCCAGCTCTCCAAATTGCAGTGGGAAACACTCTCGTCTTGTCACCAAGCTGCCTCATTATGTGGCCCTTCACTACATTGTTCCGCTCCGCCAGCTTATCCTCTCCCAACCGGAAACCCTAAACTGCATCATATTTATCCCTTCCCCCCTCCTTCCCCCCCTCCCCCACCCGCCCCGTCCCACCCCCGTCCCCCGCGTCCTAATCCCCCAGCTCCAACTTTCAGAGCTGCAGCGCAAACACACACGCCTTGCTGCCAAGCTGCCGGATGACGTCACCACTATCCCCTCTGACGTCAGCAGCAGCAGCGGCAGGTGCAAGTCTGATGTACTGTTGGAAGGAGAAACCGGGCCAGAGGGGGGTAGTTGCCCCCCCTTCGCCACAGACGGGCAGGAAGAAAACGGGGGCAGGTGGGGGGGGGAGGATAGCAAGCTAGAGAGGGAGAGCAAGGAAGGGCAGGAGAGAAATCGAGAGCAGGAGAGTGGCAAAGACAAGGAGGACAAAAATGAGGCGGAGGAAGAGGAGGTGAAGGAGGATGCAGAGATCTTTTGGCGCCGAGTGGCTCTGCTGGCCTCCCTCCTGTGCCTCGTGCTCCCCATCTTCATCATAAAAAACATCGACGAGGTGGCCCAGCTCTTTGGGAGGCGGCAGACGAGGTCCAAGGCGCCAGACGGGGCTATGGTTGTGGCTGCCTCTTCCTCCTCCTCTTCTGCTGCTTCTGGTGGCGGTGCTGCTGCCGCTGGTGGTGGTGGTGGTGGGTCGCCTTCGTCCTCTGCTCTTGCGGCGTCGGTGGACGAGGAGGTGTCGATGAGCAAGCGCCTGGCGTATAAGGTGGATGTGCTCTTCTCCATGCACTCGTGGGTCAAAGGCGCGGCTCTCCTCGCCGCCACTCTCCTGCTGTGAGTGTTGCTGAGGCGCATTATGGGTATTCAGGGATATGGGGCCCTTGACAGCAATTGCTGTCCTTGCATCCTTGGTAGTTGAGGAACGGCCATTTTGCAAGCGGTACAAACTCCAAGCGATTGTTGTGGGACGCCCTTTTTTTCCTTTGTAATCTGCCTGCGCCCCCCTCCCCACACCACACCAGCATCGCCCTTGGAGGCCTTGCTCTGTACGCCGTCGGATCCAAAGAGCGGATGGATCTGGGCGACGCCACGTGGCGCGCCTGGTCCTACGTGGCGGACGCGGGCAACCACGCGGACAGCGAGGGCGTGGGGCCGCGGATCGTGGGCGTGAGCATCAGCATCGGGGGCATGCTGATCTTTGCGCTCATGGTGGGGCTGGTGTCGGAGGGCATCTCAGAGAAGGTGGACTCTCTCAAGAAGGGCAAGAGCGACGTCATCGAGAAGAACCACACTCTCATCCTCGGCTGGAGCGACAAGCTGGTGGGTTGGAGGGGTGGGGGTCTTGCTGCGAAGATATGGGGTGGTGGGGCGAAGAAGGAGGGGTTTGGCAGAAGAAGGGCAAGAGCGACGTCATCGAGAAGAACCACACTCTCATCCTCGGCTGGAGCGACAAGCTGGTGGGTTGGAGGGGTGGGGGTCTTGCTGCGAAGATATGGGGTGGTGGGGCGAAGAAGGAGGGGTTTGGCAGAAGAAGGGCAAGAGCGACGTCATCGAGAAGAACCACACTCTCATCCTCGGCTGGAGCGACAAGCTGGTGGGTTGGACTGGTGGGGGTCTTGCTGGGAAGATATGGGGTGGTGGGGTGAAGAAGGAGGGGTTTGGCAGAAGAAGGGCAAGAGCGACGTCTTCGAGAAGCTGGAGCGACAAGCTGGTGGGTGTCTGCCTCTCCCATTTGTGGCAAAGAGTGGGGTGTAGGGACAAGGAACGAGGGGCTTGGCTCAAGAAGGGCAAGAGAGACGTTATTGAGAAGAACCACATGCTCATCCTCAGCTGGAGCGACATGCTGGTGTGTCCTGCGCCCGTAATTGTCTTTTCCTGCGCCCCTCATTGCCTGCGCCCCTCATTGCCTGCGCCCCTCATTGTCTTCTCCTGCGCCCCTCATTGCCTTCTCCTGCGCCCCTCATTGTCTTCTCCTGCGCCCCTCATTGCCTTCTCCTGCGCCCCTCATTGTCTTCTCCTGCGCCCCTCATTGCCTTCTCCTGCGCCCCTCATTGCCTTCTCCTGCGCCCCTCATTGTCTTCTCCTGCGCCCCTCATTGCCTTCTCCTGCGCCCCTCATTGCCTTCTCCTGCGCCCCTCATTGTCTTCTCCTGCGCCCCTCATTGCCTTCTCCTGCGCCCCTCATTGTCTTCTCCTGCGCCCCTCATTGCCTTCTCCTGCGCCCCTCATTGCCTTCTCCTGCGCCCCTCATTGCCTTCTCCTGCGCCCCTCATTGCCTTCTCCTGCGCCCCTCATTGTCTTCTCCTGCGCCCCTCATTGCCTTCTCCTGCGCCCCTCATTGTCTTCTCCTGCGCCCCTCATTGCCTTCTCCTGCGCCCCTCATTGTCTTCTCCTGCGCCCCTCATTGCCTTCTCCTGCGCCCCTCATTGCCTTCTCCTGCGCCCCTCATTGTCTTCTCCTGCGCCCCTCATTGTCTTCTCCTGCGCCCCTCATTGCCTTCTCCTGCGCCCCTCATTGCCTTCTCCTGCGCCCCTCATTGCCTTCTCCTGCGCCCCTCATTGCCTTCTCCTGCGCCCCTCATTGTCTTCTCTTGCGCCCCTCATTGTCTTCTCCTGCCTTTCTTCCCCTCATTTTTCGCCCCCTGCCCGCTTTTCCATGTCTCATCGCAACAGGCATCGCTGCTGCTGAAGCAGCTGGCATTGGCTAGCGAGAGCGTGGGAGGGGGCATGGCGCTCGCACCCTTCGTCTGTCCTCGTACCCTCTCTCTTATTCTCTCCCACCTCTGTAACCCATTTCAACAGGCATCGCTGCTGAAGCAGCGGGCAGTGGCGAACGAGAGCATGGGAGGGGGCGTGGTGGTGGTGGCGGTGGTGATGATGCTGCCTCTGAATCTCTGCACACCTCCTATCCCTTCCATGACCGTTTCCCCCCTGTCCTCCAACGCCCCCCAACAGGCATCCCTCTTGAAGCAGCTGGCAGTGGCGAATGAGAGCATGGGAGGGGGCGTGGTGGTGCTGCTGATGGTGGTGGTGGGGATGCCGTGCTTCCCCTCACTTCCCTCTTTCTCCCACTGTTTCTAAAACCCAACGCAACAGGCATCCCTCTTGAAGCAGCTAGCGGTGGCGAACGAGAGCATGGGCGGTGGCGTGGTGGTGGTGATGAGCGAGAGGGAGAAGGAGGAGATGGAGAGCGAGATTCAGAAGATGGAGTTTGACTTCCGAGGCACCACTGTCATCTGCCGGTAAGCTTGTTGTTCGCTTAGAGGCACCACTGTTATCCGATGAGAGAAGAGTGCTTCCCCCGGTGATGCATCCCCCCCCCCCTCCCCCCCCCGCTCTCCCCCCCTTACTTCTGCAGCTCTGGCTCTCCCCTGGTGCTCGCTGACCTCAAGAAGGGCTCAGTGTCAACAGCCCGGGCCCTGATAGTGCTGATGGAAGCAGAGAACGCGGATGCTGCTTATGCGAGCGCGCTGGGAGTGGTTTGAGTCCTCCTCTCTTTCAATCTCTTACCCCTTCCCCTTTCGGCTCCCCTATTCCCCTTGCTTTCCCCTTCCCCCCTCTGCAGCTCCGGCTCTCCTCTTGTCTTGGCTGACCTCAACAAGGTCTCAGTGTCGACAGCCAGAGCCCTAATTGTTCAGCCTCCCCCGTCTCCCCTCCCCCCTCACCCACTTCCCCCCTCTGCAGCTCCGGCTCTCCCCTTGTCTTGGCTGACCTCAAGAAGGTGTCGGTGTCAACAGCCAGAGCGCTGATCGTTTTGGCCGAGGCGGAGAACGCGGATGCTGCTGATGCCAGGGCGCTGAGGGTGGTGCTGAGCCTGACGGGCGTGAGGGAGGGGCTGCGGGGTCACATTGTGGTGGAGCTCAGTGACATCGACAACCAGCAGCTGGTGAAGGTGAGAGGAAACCTAGGGAGAGGAGGGTTGAAGGCCTCGGTGTAAAGAGGGAGTGCTGCTGAGGGGTGGTGCTGAGTCTGATGGGGGTGAGAGAGGGCGATGATGAGGGAGGGGCTGCTGGGACACATTGTGGTGGAGCTCAGTGACATCGACAACCAGCAGCTGGTGAAGGTGAGAGGAAACCTAGGGAGAGGAGGGTTGAAGGCCTCGGTGTAAAGAGGGAGTGCTGCTGAGGGGTGGTGCTGAGTCTGATGGGGGTGAGAGAGGGCGATGATGAGGGAGGGGCTGCTGGGACACATTGTGGTGGAGCGCAGTGATATACACAACCAGCAGCTGGTGAAGGTGAGAGAGGGGTGTGTAGAGGGGGTTGGGGGTTTACCGAGGCAACAAGTGTAGCACGCAAGAGGGGCTGAGGGGGCATATCGTGGTGGAGCTGAGAGACATCAGCGACCAGCAGCTGGTGAAGGTGAGGGTTCTGGGGCTATTCACGCAAGGGCGAGAGGGCATGTCATGGGTAGTCCTGAGGGAGGGACACAGAGAGCTGAGCGAGGGGCTATTGAGGCAAGGGTGGGCAGTGAGAGCTGTGAATGAGGGAGGGATTGAGATGGCATGTTTTGGCGGAAAGGGTGGCGGAAAGGGTGGCGGGAAGGGTGGCGAGAAGGGAAGGGCGGGTCATGAGTCCGTGGTGCGCCCACCAACCCGGCTGTGACTCGTCCCCCTCGTTCTGTCAATGCTGCCCCCCCCACTCCCCCTGCTAGCCCACCCCAAAACACACACTTTTGAGTCGACTCACTCAAAGTCCCCCCCACTCCCCCCGCCCACCCACCCCAACACGTACACATTGTCATAAACGGCTCATGATCCAATGCGCCCTCCAACCCAGTTGGGCTGTTCTGTTCACCAACCCACCAATCGTTCTCCCTCTCCCTGTTTCCCTAGTCACCAAACGGATGGTGGGTGGGAGGGCAGATGGTGGAAACTGTGGTGGCTCACCAAGTGATTGGGCAGCTCGTGATCCAGTGCGCCCGCGAACCCGTTTTGGGCTGTGCACCCATCGTCGTCTTTCTCCCTAATCCCTTGCTGGAATCCCCCCTCAATAACGCAGATGGTGGAGACTCTGGTGGGGCTCATCACGTGATCTGGCGGCTGATGATTCAGTGCGCCCGCCAGCCCGGGCTGGTTCAGATCTGGGAGACGCTTCTAGGGTTTGAAAACTGCGAGTTGTCTTCAATGCTCTCCAAGCATGCTCACTCTCACCCTTGTCCTTTCTCTTTTCATCTGCCAATGCCAACCCCCCTTCAACAACACAGATGGTGGGAGGGCAGATGGTGGAAACGGTGGTGGCTCACGACGTGATTGAGTGGCTCATGATTCAGTGCGCCCACCAGCCCAGGCTGGCTCAAATCTGGGAGACTCGTCTAGGGTTGGAAAACTACGAGTTTTACACCAAGCAAGGCTGGAGCTCATAGGGAAGACCTTCTGGGAGGTTCTGTCAACGCTGGCCCCCCACTGCCCCCCTCCCCCCCCCACGACACCCCTTTCTACAGATGGTGGGAGGGCGGATGGTGGAGACAGTGGTGGCTCACGACGTCATTGGGAGGCTGATGATTCAGTGCGCCCGCCAGCCCGGGCTCGCCCAGATCTGGGAAACGCTGCTGGGGTTTGAAAACTGCGAGTTTTACACGAAGCACTGGCCGGAGCTTATAGGGAAGACTTTCCGGGAGGTTCTGCTCTCGTTTCCTGATGCGGTGCCGTGCGGTTTGAGGGTTTCCGCGCGGACGTACTTTGAGAAGAGCACTGAGGCAGTCGGGTTTTATGGGGACGCTGGGAGCAGCATCGGCGGTGGCAGTGAAAGTGGGGGAGAGGGAGAAAGAGAAGGAGAGGGAGTGGGAGGAGAGGTGAAGAGGGATCACAAGGGGGATACGCGACTGTGGCTCAACCCCGATGATGACTACGTGCTCCTGGTGAGCGGGAGTCACGTTGTATGCTGGAGGAAAGATGTGAACCAGACATAGGTTGCAGCGAACAAATTGAAGAGGGCTCACAGGGGGATACGCTGTTGTGGCTCAACCCTGGTGATGACTACGTGCTTCAGGTGAGCAGGAGATACTCTGCTTATCGAGGGACAGACGTGAGCAAGGTTTGAGGGTTTCCGCACGGACGTGCTCACTTGTGGCTCAACCCAGATGATGACTATGTGCTTCAGGTGAGAGGGCTTCAGGTGAGAGGGCTTCAGGTGAGGGGGTCTCAGGTGAGAGGGCTTCAGGTGAGAGGGTCTCAGGTGAGAGGGCTTCAGGTGAGAGGGTCTCAGGTGAGAGGACTTCAGGTAAGAGGGCTTCAGGTGAGAGGGCTTCAGGTGAGCAGAACTTCTGTCGTACTTTGGAGAGCAGAGGCGAGGCGGACGTGAGCAAAGCGTCATCATGAACAACCGAGGAAGATCCGCAAGGGGGAGACGCTGTTGTGTGTGGCTCAACCCCGACGACGGTGACTCTGCTTCAGGTGAGCGGGACGTCCATTGTGCTTTGGAGAGCAGAGGTGAACGAGACATGGAGTGCTGTGAACAACTGGAAGGGGCTCACAAGGGGGATACGCGGCTGTGGCTCTCAACCGCGCCTTTTATTATGTGCTTCAGGTGAGGGCTCTCTGCTTCAGGTGCGGGTCAGGTGTGGTTTAGGAGAGTGCTCTCTCTGCTTCCAGTGGTAGCTGAAGAGGACGATTCATGGCCCACTGTGCCTTCACCATCATACTCAACCATCACCCATCCCGCCCATCCCGCCCACGTTCTCCCCTCAGTCCGTTTTTTGTGATCACTGAAGATGACAATTCCTAGCCCCCCCCGGTTCCCGGAACTCTTCCCACACGCTCGTACCTCCCATCTCCCCCCCTACCGTCCTCTCTCCCCGCTCTCCATCCCCTGGTTGACCCAGCCTGAGGACTCGGTTCTTGTGATCGCTGAAGATGACGATTCCTATGCCCCCGGCCCGCTGCCCATGGTGCGAGACGCCCCGCTGCCCGACATCGAAACTCCGCCGAAGCTGCCCGAAAAGATCCTCTTCTGTGGCTGGCGGCGTGACATTGATGATATGATCACGGTACGGCAGGGGGGAGAGGGGGTGAGATGGGGGGGAGATGGGGGGGAGATGGGGGTGAGATGGGGGGGAGATGGGGGTGAGATGGGAGGCAGGCTTAGTCTGACCCTCGTCCCTAGTTCTGTTGTGTACTGGGCGGGCGCCTTCTTAACGCGTGGCTCCAAGCTGTGGATCTTCTCAGATGTGCCTGTGGAGGAGCGGGAGGCGAGGCCCATAGAGAGCGGGCTGAACCCCTTACCCGTAGCCTGCCCTTTCAGGTGCTAGAGGCATTCCTGGCCCGCACCTCTGAGCTGTGGATCTTCTCGGACGTGCTCGTGGAGGAGAGGGAGGGGAGGCTCATAGAGGGGGCTGAACCCCCTTCTCTCCCAACCCAGCACTACCTAAAAGCAATCCTTGCACCCTATCCCTGTCCGTCCAGGTGCTAGAGGCTTTCCTAGCCCGCGGCTCTGACGTGCCTGTGGAGGAGCGGAGGCGAGGCTCATAGAGGGCGGGTTGGAGTTGAACCTCCATTTCCTCTCTTTCCCTGCCTTCCACTCTCAAACCTCCAGGTGCTAGAGGCCTTCTTGGCCCGCGGCTTTGAGCTGTGGATCTTCTCAGACGTGCCTATGGAGGAGAGGGAGGCGAGGCTCATAGAGGGCGGGGCTTGATCCAACCTAAAACCCAAAACCCGAACCTTTGATCCTACCCCTGTGCAGGTGCTAGAGGCCTTCCTGGCCCGCGGCTCCGAGCTGTGGATCTTCTCAGATGTGCCTGTGGAGGAGAGGGAGGCGAGGCTCATAGAGGGAGGGCTGAACCCCAGCGAGTTGGAGAACGTGACTCTGGTGCACCGCATGGGCAACGCCGTCATCAGAAGGCACCTTGAGTTCCTGCCACTAGAGACGTTCGATTCGGTAAGAAGAGCTGTGTGCTTGGGAGGGGCTTCGACTCTGGTGCACCGCATGGGCTTCGCGGTCATCAAAAGGCACCTCGAGTTCCTGCCTCTTGAGATCTTTGACTTGGTGAGACGACTTGCAGCATTTGACCTGGCAAGGGTTCTTCTCGAGCCGACCCCGAGCTGGAGAACGTGACTCTGATGCACCACATGGGCAACGCCGTCATCAGAAGGCACCATCCCCCGCCCCATCCCCCGCCCCATCCCCCTCACCATCCCCCTCCCCATCCGCCGCCTCACTTCCCTTTCATCTCAGGTGACTCTTTAGACGACTCAACAATCCCCTTCCACCTCCCTCCCATTCACTCCTCCAGATCTCCATTGTGGCAGATGAGGGCCGCTCAGCTGTGGCAGAAGATTCCATCTTCACCTGTGACTCCCGCTCTCTCTGTCTCCCTCCCCCATCTCTACCTTGTCTCCCTCCCCCTCCTCTCCCTTGTCTCCCTCCCCCTCCTCTCCCTTGTCTCCCTCCCCCATCTCTACCTTGTCTCCCTCCCCCATCTCTACCTTGTCTCCCTCCCCCATCTCTACCTTGTCTCCCTCCCCCTCCTCTTCCTTGTCTCCCTCCCCCATCTCTACCTTGTCTCCCTCCCCCATCTCTACCTTGTCTCCCTCCCCCATCTCTACCTTGTCTCCCTCCCCCATCTCTACCTTGTCTCCCTCCCCCATCTCTACCTTGTCTCCCTCCCCCCTCTCTACCTTGTCTCCCTCCCCCATCTCTACCTTGTCTCCCTCCCCCATCTCTACCTTGTCTCCCTCCCCCATCTCTACCTTGTCTCCCTCCCCCATCTCTACCTTGTCTCCCTCCCCCATCTCTACCTTGTCTCCCTCCCCCATCTCTACCTTGTCTCCCTCCCCCATCTCTACCTTGTCTCCCTCCCCCATCTCTACCTTGTCTCCCTCCCCCATCTCTACCTTGTCTCCCTCCCCCATCTCTACCTTGTCTCCCTCCCCCATCTCTACCTTGTCTCCCTCCCCCATCTCTACCTTGTCTCCCTCCCCCATCTCTACCTTGTCTCCCTCCCCCATCTCTACCTTGTCTCCCTCCCCCATCTCTACCTTGTCTCCCTCCCCCATCTCTACCTTGTCTCCCTCCCCCATCTCTACCTTGTCTCCCTCCCCCATCTCTACCTTGTCTCCCTCCCCCATCTCTACCTTGTCTCCCTCCCCCATCTCTACCTTGTCTCCCTCCCCCATCTCTACCTTGTCTCCCTCCCCCATCTCTACCTTGTCTCCCTCCCCCATCTCTACCTTGTCTCCCTCCCCCATCTCTACCTTGTCTCCCTCCCCCATCTCTACCTTGTCTCCCTCCCCCATCTCTACCTTGTCTCCCTCCCCCATCTCTACCTTGTCTCCCTCCCCCATCTCTACCTTGTCTCCCTCCCCCATCTCTACCTTGTCTCCCTCCCCCATCTCTACCTTGTCTCCCTCCCCCATCTCTACCTTGTCTCCCTCCCCCATCTCTACCTTGTCTCCCTCCCCCATCTCTACCTTGTCTCCCTCCCCCATCTCTACCTTGTCTCCCTCCCCCATCTCTACCTTGTCTCCCTCCCCCATCTCTACCTTGTCTCCCTCCCCCATCTCTACCTTGTCTCCCTCCCCCATCTCTACCTTGTCTCCCTCCCCCATCTCTACCTTGTCTCCCTCCCCCATCTCTACCTTGTCTCCCTCCCCCATCTCTACCTTGTCTCCCTCCCCCATCTCTACCTTGTCTCCCTCCCCCATCTCTACCTTGTCTCCCTCCCCCATCTCTACCTTGTCTCCCTCCCCCATCTCTACCTTGTCTCCCTCCCCCATCTCTACCTTGTCTCCCTCCCCCATCTCTACCTTGTCTCCCTCCCCCATCTCTACCTTGTCTCCCTCCCCCATCTCTACCTTGTCTCCCTCCCCCATCTCTACCTTGTCTCCCTCCCCCATCTCTACCTTGTCTCCCTCCCCCTCTCTACCTTGTCTCCCTCCCCCATCTCTACCTTGTCTCCCTCCCCCATCTCTACCTTGTCTCCCTCCCCCATCTCTACCTTGTCTCCCTCCCCCATCTCTACCTTGTCTCCCTCCCCCATCTCTACCTTGTCTCCCTCCCCCATCTCTACCTTGTCTCCCTCCCCCATCTCTACCTTGTCTCCCTCCCCCATCTCTACCTTGTCTCCCTCCCCCATCTCTACCTTGTCTCCCTCCCCCATCTCTACCTTGTCTCCCTCCCCCCCCCCCCCCCCCATCTCTACCTTGTCTCCCTCCCCCATCTCTACCTTGTCTCCCTCCCCCATCTCTACCTTGTCTCCCTCCCCCATCTCTACCTTGTCTCCCTCCCCCATCTCTACCTTGTCTCCCTCCCCCATCTCTACCTTGTCTCCCTCCCCCATCTCTACCTTGTCTCCCTCCCCCATCTCTACCTTGTCTCCCTCCCCCATCTCTACCTTGTCTCCCTCCCCCATCTCTACCTTGTCTCCCTCCCCCATCTCTACCTTGTCTCCCTCCCCCATCTCTACCTTGTCTCCCTCCCCCATCTCTACCTTGTCTCCCTCCCCCATCTCTACCTTGTCTCCCTCCCCCATCTCTACCTTGTCTCCCTCCCCCATCTCTACCTTGTCTCCCTCCCCCATCTCTACCTTGTCTCCCTCCCCCATCTCTACCTTGTCTCCCTCCCCCATCTCTACCTTGTCTCCCTCCCCCATCTCTTCCTTGTCTCCCTCCCCATCTCTACCTTGTCTCCCTCCCCCATCTCTACCTTGTCTCCCTCCCCCTCCTCTTCCTTGTCTCCCTCCCCCATCTCTACCTTGTCTCCCTCCCCCATCTCTACCTTGGCTCCCTCCCCCATCTCTACCTTGTCTCCCTCCCCCATCTCTACCTTGTCTCCCTCCCCCATCTCTACCTTGTCTCCCTCCCCCATCTCTACCTTGTCTCCCTCCCCCATCTCTACCTTGTCTCCCTCCCCCTCCTCTACCTTGTCTCCCTCCCCCATCTCTACCTTGTCTCCCTCCCCCATCTCTACCTTGTCTCCCTCCCCCATCTCTACCTTGTCTCCCTCCCCCATCTCTACCTTGTCTCCCTCCCCCATCTCTACCTTGTCTCCCTCCCCCATCTCTACCTTGTCTCCCTCCCCCATCTCTACCTTGTCTCCCTCCCCCATCTCTACCTTGTCTCCCTCCCCCATCTCTACCTTGTCTCCCTCCCCCATCTCTACCTTGTCTCCCTCCCCCATCTCTACCTTGTCTCCCTCCCCCATCTCTACCTTGTCTCCCTCCCCCATCTCTACCTTGTCTCCCTCCCCCATCTCTACCTTGTCTCCCTCCCCCATCTCTACCTTGTCTCCCTCCCCCATCTCTACCTTGTCTCCCTCCCCCATCTCTCCTTGTCTCCCTCCCCCATCTCTACCTTGTCTCCCTCCCCCATCTCTACCTTGTCTCCCTCCCCCATCTCTACCTTGTCTCCCTCCCCCATCTCTACCTTGTCTCCCTCCCCCATCTCTACCTTGTCTCCCTCCCCCATCTCTACCTTGTCTCCCTCCCCCATCTCTACCTTGTCTCCCTCCCCCTCCTCTACCTTGTCTCCCTCCCCCATCTCTACCTTGTCTCCCTCCCCCATCTCTACCTTGTCTCCCTCCCCCATCTCTACCTTGTCTCCCTCCCCCTCTCTACCTTGTCTCCCTCCCCCATCTCTACCTTGTCTCCCTCCCCCATCTCTACCTTGTCTCCCTCCCCCATCTCTACCTTGTCTCCCTCCCCCATCTCTACCTTGTCTCCCTCCCCCATCTCTACCTTGTCTCCCTCCCCCATCTCTACCTTGTCTCCCTCCCCCATCTCTACCTTGTCTCCCTCCCCCATCTCTACCTTGTCTCCCTCCCCCATCTCTACCTTGTCTCCCTCCCCCATCTCTACCTTGTCTCCCTCCCCCATCTCTACCTTGTCTCCCTCCCCCATCTCTTCCTTGTCTCCCTCCCCCATCTCTACCTTGTCTCCCTCCCCCATCTCTACCTTGTCTCCCTCCCCCTCCTCTTCCTTGTCTCCCTCCCCCATCTCTACCTTGTCTCCCTCCCCCATCTCTACCTTGTCTCCCTCCCCCATCTCTACCTTGTCTCCCTCCCCCTCCTCTACCTTGTCTCCCTCCCCCTCCTCTACCTTGTCTCCCTCCCCCATCTCTACCTTGTCTCCCTCCCCCATCTCTACCTTGTCTCCCTCCCCCATCTCTACCTTGTCTCCCTCCCCCTCCTCTACCTTGTCTCCCTCCCCCATCTCTACCTTGTCTCCCTCCCCCTCCTCTACCTTGTCTCCCTCCCCCTCCTCTACCTTGTCTCCCTCCCCCATCTCTACCTTGTCTCCCTCCCCCATCTCTACCTTGTCTCCCTCCCCCTCCTCTACCTTGTCTCCCTCCCCCTCCTCTACCTTGTCTCCCTCCCCCATCTCCCCCATCTCCCCCTCCTCTCCCTCAGATCCTGTGACTCCCATCCTTTTCCCCCGCTCCCATTCCTCACTGCCACTCTCCTCACCTTTCTTTGTTCCGCATTCCCCCAGATCCTCATTCCAGTGGACGAGGGCCTTGAAGACTCCAGGTGTGTTTTGAGTCGACTCAAAACACAGTGGACGAGGGCCTTGAAGGCTCCAGGTGTGTTTTGAGTCGACTCAAAACACAGTGGACGAGGGCCACTCCTCACTGCAACTCTCCTCACCTTTCTTTGTTCCGTATTCCCCCAGATCCTCATTCCAGTGGACGAGGGCCTTGAAGACTCCACCATCAACCGCGACTACCATCGTTTCCCCCCGCTCCCAGTGGACGAGGGCCTACCATCGCTTTTCCCCGCTCCCATTCCTCACTGTTAGCGGCCGAGGGATTGGAGGATTCCATCTTCAACTGCAACTCTCCTTTCTCTTTACCTTCCTCCCCCTGCCCCCCCACCTTCACCCCCACCTTCACACCCCCCCCCCCCCCCCCCCCCTCCCCGCGCACTCTCCCCTGCACTTCCCCCCTGCACACCCCCCCTGCACTCCCCCCTTCTCCAGATCCTCATTCTAGCGGACGAGGGCCTGGAGGACTCCATCATTAACTGCGACTCTCGCTCCCTTGCCACACTTCTGCTCATCAGAGACATCCAGGTGGGTGCCATGTGGGGAAGGTGGGTGCTATTTCCATCTCCCTCGCCACGATTCTGCTCATCAGAGACATCCAGGTGGGTGTTATCTGGGGGGGGTGGGTGCTGTCTTGGGGGGGGGGGGGGGCTATCTGGGGAAGGTACGTGCTATGTGCTATCCAAGTGGGCATACAGGTGTTATCTGAGGATGGTGGTATTGACTCCATCATCAACGGCGACTCTCCCTCGCCACGCTGCTGCTCATTACAGAATTCCAGGTGGGGTGTTTTGCGGGGGAGGTGCTATCAGCTATTTATATGGGAAGGTGGGTTCTATCTGGGGAAGGTGGGAGCTGTATCATCAACCATCAATTGTCGTCCATCACCTCTCCTCTACTCCCCTCTACTCCCCTCTACTCCTCTCCACATCCCCTTAACCCCTCCCCCCATGTCCCCCCTCGTACCAGTCCATGCGCAGCGCACATGCCAGCAGGCGGCAATGGCCACCAGTGCACCAACTCGTCCATCTCTTATCCCCAGCCCCATCTCAGCCATCACTGCACCCTCCTGCCTGGAGACCCATCCCAGTCGCAACCTTCTACAATCCCCCATCCCCCCCTCCTTCGTTCCCCTTCTTCTCTTCCCCCCCCCCCCCACCAGTCCAAGCACATGCCAGCCGGCAGCAAGGGCCACCGGCGCAGCAACACGTCGATCTCGTTCCCCTGACCCCCCTCGTGCTTCATCCCACCCTCTCCCCTTACCTACCTCCCCTCCCCTGCATCCCCCAACCCCCCTCTCCCCCTCCTCCCCACCCCTTCCTATGCTCCAGTCCAAGCGCATGCCGGCGGGCGGCAAGGGCCACCGCCGCAGCAACTCGTCCATCTCGTTCCCTCGGCCCGCCTCCACGACCTCGTGGGTGGGGCAGATGCAGCAGGCCTCCCAGCAGTCCATCGTCATCTCTGAGATCCTGGACTCTCGCACGAGGTCTCTCGTCTCGGTGTCCAAGATCAGCGACTACGTGCTCAGCAATGAGCTGGTGTCCATGGCTCTGGCAATGGTAGGTGCATGGGATGGGAAATGGTAGGTGCATGGGATGGGAAATGGTAGGTGCATGGGACGGGCAAGGGTAAGCACAGAGCACCTCCATCTCCATCTCGTTTCCCAGCAGCCCATCGTCATGTCAGAGATCCTCGACTCGCGCACCCGTTCCCTGGTGTCGGTCTCCAAGATTAGCGACTACGTTCTGAGCAACGGGCTGGTCTGAATGGCGCTGGCGATGGTAAGTATGGACATGTAGAGCACGCTATTTCAGCTTTTGAGTCGACTCAAAAGCCGGCGATGGTAAGAACATGCTATTTCACCTCCCCATCTCCATGACCTAGTGGGCAGGGCAGATGCAGCAGGCCTTGCGGTTGCGGCAGTCCATCGTACTGTCTCTGTTTCAGCCTCCTCGTCACCACTCCCCCTTGCCTTCATTGCAGACAACCCTTGCTGCCTCGCCCTTGTGTTCACCACCCTGGCAGGTGGTTTTTGAGGCGCCTAAAAAATCGCCTCGCCCTTGTGTTCACTACCCTGGCAGGTGGCGGAGGACAGGGAGGTCAATCGCGTTCTCGAGGAGCTCTTTTCTGAAGAGGTGTGTGATGTGGGATAAGGGGGGACGGGGGAAGGGACGGGGTGGGGGGTGGGGGATTGTTTGGGGGAAGCGCGGGGAATGGGGAGAGGAGTTGCAGAATTGGGAGTTTGACGACATGTGGATCATGTAGGGCTAGAGCGTGTAGAGCTCTCAGAGGCTTGCATGAAGGTCATCGGTGTACGAACCTCTAACGTCTGGCCCTCTCACACGTCTGGCCCTCTCACACGTCTGGCCCTCTCACACGTCTGGCCCTCTCACACGTCTGGCCCTCTCGCACGTCTGGCCCTCTCGCACGTCTGGCCCTCTCGCACGTCTGGCCCTCTCGCACGTCTGGCCCTCTCGCACGTCTGGCCCTCTCACATGACGATGGTGATTCCAAGTTCTGCTCTCTTTTTCTCCAACCTTTCTCCTCCAACCGTTTTTCTCCACAGGGCAACGAGATGTGCCCTTTTCCAGCCGAACTCCATCTTTAATCCGCGTGCCAAATGTCCTTATATTGCCTCGAGCTTCCTACCCTTGGTTGAGTGTTCCCTAGGAGTATTACGGACAGCCAATCCCGTCCAAGTACCCGACCAACCTTCCTACCATTGAAATGCGTGGCACGCGGGGTTTAACCGACGGGGAGGAGCTGTCCTTCTTTGAGGTGGTGGTGCGCGCACAGCAGCGCATGGCGATCATCATTGGCTACCAGCTGTTCTTGCTTCCTTCCCTCCTACCTACTCCCACGCCCACACCCGACACGGCAGCACGTGGAGATCATACTGCAGTGTTACCGGCTCTTCTTTCCAACCCCCCCGCTACTGCCTTCCACCCCCACCTCCCCCACCCCCACAGGGCAACGAGATGTACATCCGGCCAGCCGAGCTCTACTTAACCGATGGGGAGGAACTGTCGTTCTTCGAGGTGGTGGTGCGCGCCCGGCAGCGCATGGAGATCATCATTGGGTACCGGCTCTTCACGGAGGACGAGGCCATTCTGAACCCACCGGACAAGGCGGAGAGACGCGCGTGGTCGATTCAAGACACGTTCATTGTCCTCTCTTTCAACGAGTAGCAGTAGCCGGCTTTCTCGAGGGTTGTCACCCGCATCTCAAGCCACCTGACGAGTTTCGAGTTTACAGCGTGGCTCATCCAGCCAGGATGAGAGACGTGCGTGGCTCATCCAGCCAGGATGAGAGACGTGCGTGGTCCATCCAAGACACGCTCATGGTCCGGCCTTCAATGAGTAGCAGCAGCCATTCTCGAGAAATTATCGCATGTCATCCCACTCAACAATGTTGAGACGCGCGTGGCTGATCCAAGACACACAACTAATAGTGGCCATGCAACAACAATCGGCCGGCACGCGTCCATGCTAGGATAATCTCTTACCTTCTCAAAGTAGATAGTCATGCTTGGCATGTTCTTGGCTTGGTTTGGTGTGGTTTGTGTCCAAAATCCACTCAGTTTCTTCTCATCCTCTGACAGAACGATGTCCTGACAAGTAGAGCTGAATGCCACTAGAAGTGCAATGAGTGGATGAGTGGAGGACCGTGCCATATGGCGCGAAGTCTGAACTTGGTATTTCTACTTCCAGGTGTAGTAGGGACAGTATGCATTAAGTTAAATATTTTCTCAGAACGTGGTGTATGTAACATTGTGTCGAACACATATGCATATGTTACTATAGGCGAGATAGGTGCGTACTCTTAGGGAGTACAACCCCTTAGCGCAAAGCCACCATGTATCTCTCATTCTAGCTAATTTCGTTAATCTGAGATGGTATCACGCTAGGTTAGGTCCTCCCTGCTCACCCGCGCTTCCACCCTAGTCTTAGTCCTAGACCCAGCCACACGTTGCTAGCCGCCCATAGCCGCCCGTAGCCACCCGTAGCCCCGCGCCCGCCTGCCCCGCGCCCACCAGCCCCGTGCCCTCTGGCCCCGCGCTCGCCAGCCCTGCGCTCGCTGACCCCGCGCCTGCTGGCCCCACACCCGCCCGCCCTGCGCCCGCTGGCCCCCCATTCGCCAGCCCCACGCCCGCCGGCTCCGTGCCCTCTGGCCCCGCGCTCGCCAGCCCCGCGCTCGCTGGCCCCGCACCTGCCCGGCTCGCGCCCGCTGGCCCGGATTTCGCCAGCCCCGCCTTCGCCAGCCCCTCGCCGCTGGCCCCATGCTTGCTGGCCCCACGCCCACCGGCCCCTGCGCTCGCCAGCCCCGCGCCTGCTGGCTCCGCGCCCGCCAGCCCTGCACCTGCTGGCCCCGCTCCCGCCAGCCCCGCGCCTGCTGGCCCCGCACCCGCCAGCCCCGCGCCTGCTGGCCCTGCGCCCGCCAGCCCCGCGCCTACTGGCCCCGCGCCCACCAGCCCTGCGCCTGCTGGCCCTGTGCCCACCCGTCCCGCGCCCGCTGGCCCCGATTTCGCTGGCCCCTCGCTAGGTCGCCCCTCACCCGCCAGCCCTGCATTCACCAGCCCCACACTTGCTGGCCCCGTGCTCGCTGGCCTCGGGCCTGCCGGCCCCATTGCCCCGGCCCTGCGCTCACGCCGACCCCAGCTCCACCGGCCGCAGCTCCGCCGGTCCCAGCCCGCCCCGGCCCTTGCTACCGCCGAGACGCGCTGATCCGCCAACCTTGGTTCCCCCTCTGCGCCGGCGCTCCTGCCGGCAGGCTCCACCGCTCTCCACCGCACTCCACCGCTCTCCACCGTGCTTCACCACACTCCACCGCACTTCACCACACTCCACCGCACTCCACCGCTCCCCACTGCTCTCCACCGCTCTCCACCGCCCTCCTCCGCTTTCCTCCTCCCCTCGTCAGCGGCATTCAGCTGCTGCAGCCGTGGTGATGGCGGACTCTGTGCTCCACTTGGATGCGGAGGGTCGGCCCGTTGATTTTGAGGCGTGGCTCGTCGACCTCCGCCGCCAGCTGACCGGTCAGCGCCAGGACGGCTACTCCCAAGTCGTCCATGTCGACGGTAAGCTCCCCTGCCCCACCGCGCCAGCTGCCCTCCCTGACGCCCCTATGTCTGCTGAGCATGAGGCCTTTGCCGCTGCTGAGCTTGCCCGCGTTGTCTGGGAGTCGCGCAAAGCAGTTGCAAATCTTGCTATTAATCACGCCCTCCCCCTGTCTGAGCGTCCCCGATTTACCGCTGTAGCAAATGCAATAGAGCACTTAGATGGAGTCATCGTGCGCTATTCCAATCCCTCCTCAGCCTCTGCTGGCCGACTGATCCTCCCCATGCTGTTCCCTGACCTTGCGTCCTTCCCTACTGTCGCTGACCTTGCCACAAACCTCCGTGCACTTGAGACTAGCTACCGCGCCGCTAGCACTGAGGCACAGCTCACTGCCTTCTCGCCGCCACTTTGCGCTACCCTTTATATCGCTGCCACGTGCCTTCGTGACCGCCTAGCCACTGCCCATGACCACTTCCTTAGTCAGCACCCAGGTGACCTCACCCTTACTGCGTTTGTCACCGCCTTTTCCGCGATAGAGACCCGCCAGCGCACTATCGCTCAGTCTAGCGGTACTGCGGCAGTCTCTATCTTCCAGGGTTGTGCTCCCTCCTAGTGCACTTACTCTGGCATTTCTGCCACTGTTGCTCAGACAACCCCTGCTGCTGAGGCCGCCGCCGCGGCCTCAGCGCAGCAGCGTCAGGGTGAGGGCCGCCGCCCCAAGGGGGGCTGTGGCGGAGGGAAGGGTGGTGGGGGTGGTGGTGGGGTTGGTGGAGATGGGGGAGGGGACGGTGGTATAGACAAGGGGACCGGGGCTGATGCATCGGAGCAGCAGTAGCAGCAGCCTCAGCAGTAGCAGCAGCAGCCTCAACAGCAGCAGCAACAGCCGCCGTGGGGACCCTGGTCGCCGTGGTGGACTAGCGGCGCAAGTGGTGGTGGTCGTGGTGGTGGTTCGTGCAGCTCGGTTTCGGGTGGAAACTTCAGTGTGGCCACCTGCCAGTACCAGCTTCAGTCCGGCCCCTGCCACGGCACCGTCTACAACCGTCCCGATCACAACGCCGCCCGATGCTACCACCGCACTTTTACCACTCGTCGTCTCACCGTTTCTTTCACACCCGCTTTCCCCAACGAGGTCTCCCGGTTGCCCCGCCCCTGTTCCTGGTCCCCACTCTCCCGGTAGTCCCTGCTCCTCTTCCTCTCCGTCGTGCCCTATCTGGTGTGTCTCACGTCACTCCCTTACCGTCGGTTGTCCAGGTGGAGGAGTCGGCTGACTCCGAGGGCCCTGCGGCTTCGGTCTCGCCGCCTGTCTCCGCCCTGGTGTATCCTCCTCCGCTGCCGCTGCAGCAGCCATTCTCGCCGTCGCAGCAGCAGCAGCGGCTGCCGCAGTCATCGCCGCAACAGCAGCCGCGGCAAGGGTTCGCGAGCTGTGGGGGTGCGGGCATTGAGGAGGGTGCCAGTCCTGGGGGAACTTTCGTGGCCTTTCCCGGCGGTCCTGTGGGTGGCACCGGTGCTGGAGAGGGTGTTGGTTTTGAGGATGTTGGTTCTAGGGGTGCTAGTCCTGGGGTTACTGTCGTGGCTTGTCCGGGCGGTCCTGGGGTTGACATCGGTGCTGGAGGGGGTTCTCGTTCCGCGGGTGCTGTCATGGGGCGTCCCGGCGGTAGCCGTGGTGCAGTTGGAGGTCCTGGTGTTGGTGTGGAGCAGCATCAGCAGCCACCGTTGGTGTCAGCCCTTCCCCTCCTCGGTCTTACCTCCCCTGACCACCCGCCTGTGCCTCCCCCACCTGTCTACGGCCCTGTGTTTCCTCCGACGGACTCGTCTCCGGCTCGTTTCCCCCCTCGTTCTCCTCCTGTGTCTCCTCCTGTGTCCCCTAACACGATGCCTCCGTCCCACTTCTGGTCCCGCCGTCCCCTCTTGTGCTCGTCCTGTCTCTCGTGTTTAGCGCTCTGAACCTATGTTGCTCTGTTCCCACGCGTCTCGTCCTCCCCTCCTCCTGTCGCCTCCTCCGTCGTCGCTGGTTATCGCTTTGCCTCCCTTGTCTGACTTCCTTTGTGCAGCTAGTCTTCTTGTTCCTCGGGTCCTTGCCTCCCTCGTTACCGACCCGTCCGTTCCTGTCTCCAGTCTTGACGCTCTTGTCGCTGCCATCACTGACTTTGCCTCTACTCGCCACCTTGACTACGTCACCGCTCTGGTCTCTGACCCTGCCCGTCCTCCGTCCGTCAGGGGGGCTCCTGCCCTTGACAATGATGTCATGGGGGACCGGCAGTACGAGCTTGCTATCCTGTCCGAGGCTGCGCCTCATCAGTGCTCCGTGCTACTAGTCCCTCTAGGGGACCCAGACGCCTTTGAGATCCCGACCCCTCGCACTTATGCTGACGCGACTTCGGGACCCTGGGCCTCTCAGTGGATAGCTGCCATGGACACGGAGATGGCATCTTGGAGATCCACAGGCACCTACATCAACACAGTCCCCCCACCTTGGGTGAACGTAGTTGATGGCCGGTGGCTCTTCAAGGTGAAGCGCTCTCCTGGAGATCCGCCGATGTTCAAGGCGCGCTACGTTGCCTGAGGCTTCAGTCAGCGCGAGGGTGTTGACTTCTTTCAGACCTTCGCCCCGACCTGGAAGATGACTATTCTTCGGGCGCTGCGACGCGTAGCAGCACAGCGTGACTACGAGCTGCACTCTCCTGACTTCTCTACAACATTTTTTCAGGGCAGTCTGCATGAGCAGGTCTACCTGCGTCGCGCGCCAGGCTTTACCGGCACCTTCGCCCCAGGGACCCAGGGGCTCCTCAGGCGCCCGGTTTACAGCCTGCGGCAGGCGCCGCACTAGTGGCACGACACGCTTCGTGCTACGTTAGCCGACTTGCATTTCTTCGCATCCTCTGCAGACCCTTCGCTCTTCATTCGTTCAGGCCAGACCCCATTCTACATCCTTGTCTACGTAGACGATCTAGTGTTTGCTACTGCAGACAGAGACACACTGGCCTCCATGAAGGCCGAGCTACTGAGGAGACACACCTGCATTGACCTAGGAGAGTTGCGCCGCTACCTTAGCCTACAGATCTTCAGGGACAAAGCAGCATGCACCATCACTCTTATATAGTCACACTTGGTGCACCAGGTCTTTCAGAGGTTCACACTCGCTCGCCGGCCTCGCGCTCACGGGCCCCTCGCTCGCTGGCCCCTTGCTCGCCGGCCCCTCGCTCGCCGGCCCCCGGCTTGCCAACCCCTCGCTCGCCGGCCTCCGCGCGCCGGCCCAAGCTACAGCCGGCCCCAGCTCCCGCCGGCCCCAGCTCCTGCCAGCCCCCAGCTCCAGCCCGCCACCGGCCCGCTCTGTCGCCGGCCCGCCGTGCCGCCGAGCTGCCCCGCACTCCCGGCCCCTTGTAGTCGCCGGCTCTGGTGTCCCTATGAGTCGGCGTTTCCGCTGGCCGTCTCCTCGACCGCACTCCACCGCTCTTTGCTGCTCTCCACCGCTCTCCATCGATCTTCACCGCTCTCCACCGCTCTCCACAGCTCCTGCCTGCCTCAGCTACTCCTCCTCCTCTAGCAGTTGTCAACTGCTGCAGCCGTGGTGAGGCGTGGCTCGCCGACCTCCGCCACTAGCTGAAGGGTTAGCGCCAGGATGGCCAGTCCCTGGCTGCCTACGTCGACAGTAAGCTCACCTGCCCCGACCCGCCTGCTGCCCTCCCCGACGCCCCCACGCCT